TTCTACCGTTTCAGTAGCATCTTTATCATACTCAAAGCTTTTACAATTACTCTAACCAGTGCGTGTTATTAAGAAAATGCCTAATGTAAGCAACACATACCCACTCCATCAACTTGTGCTATATATTCCTAACAGTGTTGCTATATGCCGTTAATTCCGTGTGAATATGAAGATCTATATAATACGTATGTCAACTGACTTTACCATTTTTAACATTGCTTGCTAGGTGACACCGGATCGATGTTTAATTTGTTGATTGATTCAGTCTCTTTATATCTCACTGTAAACGTATTATATGATATTTTTATGACCGATAGTTTACATTTATTTCTTCTTGCAGAGTTTAGGACTCCTGATTGTCTACTTTGGCCTATATTATTTTTGACATGTATAATATAGAATGAAGAGTTGAAGGCTTTTGAAATAAAATGATTTACAACAGCTTCAGTAATGCATTGATTACTTACGAAACGTCATGTTTTGCAATCGGTTCACACATTACTTTGTGCTCAAACACGAAATACACTAATAGTTAAAATAGTATGTGAATGATCATACCTTCATACGATAGCTATTAAGTCTTTTCCTATTTTCTCAATAAAGCTGTTGCCAACATATTCTTTGTTTGTTTTCGTTGTAGGTGAGATTTAATTCCTCTCCATCGGAGTCTTAAACACATCAGTTTTCAGTTTTCTAGAATTCATCCTGAAGACCAAAACGCTATAAATGTTGATGTATTGTCTTTTGATACTAATGTGTTCGTTGAAAGTATCACAAAGTGAAACAGTGTCACTAACTGGTTGCTGTCCGTCAGTGGCACAGCGGTTAGGACGCTCGCCGACCATGCATGTGGTCCAGGTTCGATCTCCGGCCGACTAACTCCTTTACCTCGCTGAGCCAGTAATAGAAGTGGCAAATAGGAAAGGTTGGGCATGAGGCTAGCAACCCCATCCTGTAAAAATAAACACTGCTACAGAAAATTCAAGACTTTAGCTTGAAGCCTTATGTTCCACTGGGAACGTGAAGGAATAAAAAAATCACTTACAGGAAGAATTTTAGAAAAGGCTTCATTGTTCATAATTGTATTCACTTAGTTCTACCATCTTACCTAACTCAATTTCAAGAGTATTTCTGATTCGATAACTACTGTAGTATACACTGCTGATAGATAAAATACAATCACTCTATAGCAATCCACAACTCAGTACCAAAACACAAATAGTGGCTAAAATAACTTTAAAAATAAAAATTTCATTACAAGGGAACAGTCGAGTTTATACAAGTAAATAAGCTAGGCCGCTTGGAACTACCTAATACCATCGTGGGGTTTTCACACCTGCCGCCTTCCTTTCTAAAATCTCACTTACTTGAAGTAAAGTAATGCTAAATAACTTTCTTCAAGTAAACATTCTGAATGTCGACACAAGATTTATAAGTACAATGACAACATACAATTTCAGCAAGATCTACAGGCGTCAGACTGGAATTGAATATGTGATGAGTATAGGCTTAATTATCATGCTTTCTGAAAATTCTACTTGTTTAATTAAGAATCCTCTGTTAGATACTCTGGATCACTTCCATATCTCATCTGCCTTAAAAGGAATTGTATTGTATTTTGGCCTTCAATCGAAAGATCCCCTCGCATTTTTAAAATATCAAACTGATCGGCAAGAATACTACCCCCTCACAATGTTGGATTTGAGTAGCATAAAAATGTATGGAAATTAGTCAACAAAGAAATCTATTTCTAAAACTCCGTAAGTCACTTTGGAAAATAAGACAAACTAATGAATAATAGCTCAACTTCAGGTTCCAATGAAATGGATTATAGGAGCTTTCCAATTAACCATTTGAACAAGTTTATACTGTAGTATGGAAATATAAATGACTGTTTACTAGCATTAGGCTACAGTATTTCAATCTAACCGTACAATAGCTTATAGCCGAAACTTTGGGATAACTACTCAGGATATAAAAAGTATCTCTTATTCTTAAAATAGAAAATACTGCTTTTTGTAAATTAGTGAATATGTACAATTAACAGACCATCGACTACCAGTACGTATATTAATGAGGAATTCATCAGTGAGCAGTATATCTATAATGCATAAGTCAATGTAGTTTTAAGTAATGTCTCCAGATTTATTAGGAAAGAATCACTACTAAATAGGTTTCAATCCGTAATTTAAGAAAGTGTGAAATGAAAGTAATATCATAAACGATTTATGTAAATGTTAATTGGACTCAAATTCGTCATTTTTAAAATGCGAAATTCAATTGGGAAATCGAATATATTCAGGTCACGTAGTTGTGCAGGTGACCGACAAAAGAAATTGGAATTTATTAGCATGATTTTACTAGTATAGGACTCAGTCTAATCAAGTTTTGTTTCATCGGTTGGTCGAATGTCCCAGTGTATGGCATGAGTTTCGTAACATTGATGCACTAGGAATTTTAAACAGACTTACTTGCACTTGCACATAAACAAACAAATTTTGCTTAAAAGTCTTTTTATCTAGGTATTCGTCTCACTACCAGTGGAAAAGATACAAAACAACCCAAATCATATATCGAACGATTTAGTGGTGAACTTCAATTTAGTTAATGTTCTAATTCTGACCACTTAAGTTTGAATTCATTGTGAGAGTTCCCTCGCAACTAAATAATGTACGATACCTGTCAGTGTTTGATGGTCGCCGTACTCATATGATGGCTTAATATTTATAACTTCTGCATGGAGACAGTCCCACAACCAAGTAGTGAAAGTTTGGGCGAAACGTGGATTTTAATTTAATAGGTTACACTACCATGATGCTCAGACTTTGGTAACTTAAATTCTGATCTCCATATCGTTCACCCTTCACCAATTTTAAAACATTTGAAAGACGTTATGTAGCAATCAGCTTCTGGAAATATGTAATTAAGTACAAATGGTTGAAATTAATTAGCATACTGCAGTCACCTCAAATTTAAACAAACGATAATTGTTCTCCATAGTAAATTCTGATTTATTGATTAGACTAAATATTAGAAAGGCATAAGAATTTTTGGAACTACATGACTCTTCAAAAACGTGTCAAATTTATTCCATTTCCAAGCATAGAGAAACGTTTGTAGGTTTTAAGACTAACTGACTTCTACATCTGTTCAGAAATTTTAAAGGATATCCATTTTCAACAAGAGTATCCATCAGTATTTGATTTTCCCTCTCTATAAAATCAGCCGTACAAATACGCTGAATCCTCTTAAATAAACATTTCACCAAGCCTCTCTTATAATGTAGTCAACAGAAGCTGAGAAAATTTAAGTGTTGCTCTATCCAAGTAGGCTTTCTGTAAATTGATCGTCTTATTGAACCATTACCTCTTCGACTCAGAATTAAGTCTAAAAATGCAAACTGATTACAATTTTCTTCGTTGTATGTAACACTTATATGATTCTGTGCGGAGTTAAGTCTATCCAATAGAAGACTAGCACCTTCATGTTCATGACATATCAAAATAATATCATCTACATATCTCCTATAGAAGGGCATTTTAGCAATTAAGTTAAGGGACAAGTTTACAAAGAAAAATGTCTTCATCAAATCACCATACAACATGGAAATAAATAGCAGAATTTTGAAACAGGGATTAAACTCGGTCATTCGTAGGACCTACTATGCAGCTCGGCTTGTAATCACTGAAAAAAACCAAAAGTATGTTCCACTTCACACCTCAAAAGTGCAGAAGTGATTTTGTCACAGCCCACACTATTTACCAATTTACGTGTGTATGTGTGTGTGCGGTCACACATACATTGGGAGGAGTAATCGTGATTTGCATGTGAGGGTGGGAGAGCATATTCCGAAATGGTTAGAAAGACAGAGGAACTTTGGAAAGTCAATGGACGCAGATGGAAGACTACCAACTTCGTCTATAGCCAAACATCCAATCGAGATGAACCATAAGACTGATGTGAACATAGCTTCTAAGGTCATCTATAAAAATGGTCAGGGGCGCTTACTGAAATATGCTGAGACCATAGCTAAATTCTTTTTTGTCACTTTGTATACTTTAACTGCCCTTTAATTGTTTTTCATATAAATTAACTTGACAAGTAAATGTGTGTGATCAAATAGTGTGAAATGTATTGCTCAAATATATCACAATTTTCAGATAATCTCCGTCTTTTAATAACATTATCCAAATTTATAAAAGAGACTAACTGTTTTACATAGAAATATGCTAGGAAAACCATTAATTAGTTAGTCGTAAATTCTGGACTGAGATAAGACTACTTTCAGCCAATGGCGGTGTAAATAAAGTTCCACATCAGTAGCCGTTGATTTTAAGTGCCAATTTATAGTTTAAACTATTTTTGACAGTGAATTATATCAAGACTAGAATGCCATTTCTCGAATCAGTGTCTGTCAGCTGGATTACATCTTTTCTTGCCGAGTAAATACATTGTTTAAAGGTTAATTAATCAAGAAATCAATAACTTGATCGAATGGTTCTCATTCTAAAGGCTTTGATCGCCAGTGCCTTCCACTTCCTAATTAAGCATTAACCATACTTGTAAAGCATGTAAGCTAATTTGGACCGAGGAGACTCAGGAAGTCATTACTTTTCAGAAGAGTCAGTCTCAACCATTATCAGGCTACATTCTGGAGAACTTTGCCAATTAAACTAAATTTTCAAAAGTTATGATTTCGACAAAGCAAATAAAGTGTGATGGAGACATTCATTGAATTAGGTAATTGGGTGCATCATATCAGACTTTGATTTTGATATTTACAGTTCTGCTGTTGAGATGGGTATCGGTTGATGAGATACTGAAGACTTTTACTTTTCTTTGCTTTCGCGACTAAGCTGAAGTAAAACTGACGTCTACTGTGATAACAAGATATCCACCCATAAAAAAATCATAACTTCTTATTGAATTAAAATTTATATTTATTATCTAACAAATTAACCCTGAACAAATAATATCAAGATAACAAAGTAAAGCATTTGTTAACTCCTTCTTTTAATTGAACTGGGACGACTTTTTGAGCCTGACTTTGAACTTCTTGATGACTTTATTCTTTCTTTTTTAGGACTTTTCTGTTGACTTACAACTGGTTCAACAGCACAGTAGTCAGCACCTTCATTCAAAAGTGCTTCTTTCTCCTCTTTATATTGTTTGATTAAATTATTCCTGTACGTTGTACACATGTCATAGTATTTAAAGTGAGCTTCATCGTTCAAAAACTAATAAAAATAAAAAGTTATACATTCAAAAATATTGAGTATTTAACAAAAGTGGTGTTAAAGCATACGCCTAAATTCACCTTTCTGTGGCAGTAAATGGTGATCTTCGTAGCTAGGCAACAAGGTTAATAGTTAAACATGCGATATGGCATCTTTATTATCTCATCCTATTATACGTAATTTATTGCATCTTAATGACGCTAATTCCCACTGTTGCATTTAATGGAGAATAAAATAAAGGAAAATATAATCCATAAATCGAAGTTAGTGCGAAATGAAGCTCAGATTCAATGTGATAAAACAACTCTTTGTGTATGCTGCGCAACTCTTAGAAACTATTAAAACCTTCTCTGAAGATGTTGTCTAGAAGAACGACGAAAGCTTCGTAACTAAATCAATTAACCGGTTCAGAGAACGCAATTAATTCAACAGACTAAGTCTGACAAAAAATAAATCTGATTAAAAGCCTACTTGTTCTGTAACACAAACAGAATAACCCCAAAACTTCAAGAGTATGTGAAAAGAGTTATTTAATGGCCTCATTTCCTTAATTTTAGAGACACATAACACCTGTAAATTTACAAAAAAGATTTTTGTATGAAGTGTATGCTCGCCGTTACAGGAATTTGCAAGTGTTAGGGAGTTAGAAGATTACAAAGATTACAAACCTAGGTAATCAACATATTATTTCTTGCATATTACTGAGGTCAGTGGTGAGTAGTCACTAGCTTTGCTTTGATGAAATCTGTATTTCTTTTAGTTTTCGGCTTTGTATTTCTATCACTGCCACTTGATGAATAATGAATCTCATCTGTAATAATTAGTAGGTCTTTGGTGATAGACATCTTACTTATAATGGTTAACAACATTTTAGGCAATAACAGAGTGAAAGGGATATCTGAGATACTGGTACTGGAAACATTATTGTAATGAACACTGAAAATTCCATACCTGTACCACAAATACTGTTTGGAATAAAGCCATTATTATTATTATTATTACTATTATTAAGTTCATGTAATTTAACCAATTAAAGAATCATCCAGTCTTCAGATGATGGTATTAAAAAACTACCTATGTTTTCAATATGGACTGAACATCCCTACTTCAGTTCAGAAGCATAATAAGTCGTTGTCTCTCAGTTTCAACTGCAGCCCTTAGAATCCTTTGGGACCACCGCTAAAATGTCCAGCGATATGTTCAGCAATTTGTACACTTCTTTGGTGCAGCCGACCAGTACGCAGAAGGTGATTGACATATACTAGAAAAGGTCAAAAAGACTATCACATGTATGATCCCTGACATGACAAGAATAGCAGAAGAAGAACAATTAAACTGATTGAATCTCTCCTCTTTACCATAACGAAGGCAGGAAGGAGATCTTATCTTATTATTATCATCGCATTTTCGCCCAATCGAAAAGACTCACATGACACAACAGATGAACTGTATTGCTATGGTGTACTGGTCTTCTCACAGAGATTTTAACTATTGGAACCAATTCCATAAAGAAGTGAAATATACTCATTAAAACTATTGCTTCAATAGTGAGATATATTGTGGTGAGAGATGGCTGCTAGCCAAATTGGTAGACAGTAATTGACGTCAATGTTTATGTCTCAAATATTAGTCATGTGAAAACAAAATCAAAAGTGGACAGCAGACTTTGCGTAGGCGGATACAATTAACAGATAGATAATTTGACATTGAAGAGACAGCAACAAAGAGATGAAAGATTGACTTTTAGTGAGAAACAACCAATCAGAAAACTGTGTTTGTCGGCTAACAGTAATCTATAATAATGCACACGAAAATCTATGAATATATGTTGATTTCATTAATAAACAATCTGTTGCCTGACTCTTGCCTTCTGTCGTTACAATATAAGCACAGATACTGGATAGAAAATAACAGACACAGGCACTGAACCATCTATTTTTAACCTAGATTTTGGAAAACCAGTTCACCCACAGTCATTCTCACTGATAAGTAATCGGAAATAAACTCCAGTGGGGGAAAATCATTTTTTCTGTCTCGAACACAAATCTCATCACAGAGGAAACAAAATTATTTGTTAAGAAAGTGAAAGACAAAGATAACTTTCTGGCAAATTAACTGAAGCTGCTAAGTTTCCATTCTATTGGATCTCAAACTCTACTCCTTTTCGGTGTTGGCCGATTTTAACCGCCGTAATTTTTAATCTGCTGCTCATGGTTCAACTCATTTTAGTGGTATTAAATGGTGAGAAGTCACCTGTCGAAATTCTAATTCAGGCATCTTAAGAGTTAGCCATCTAGGTGGTAGAACTCAAGTTTCACGAAACAAGAAAATTTCTTTAAATTTTTGTGTGTACACTATGATGACCTTTGGTATTTCAAGCCATCTTTTCTTCTACTTCTTTCGTTCCATCCATTTGTTACGTCATAACATATATTTCTACCTCCTCCTATCATCTTGACAGGTTTTACTAGTTAAATATCTTTCTATATAACATAACGACCCTAATTAGTACCTTAATTTCTAAACATAATAAGTGTTAAATTTTTTGAACATCGGTAATAACAGTGATTATAATGATAACAAAATTATGATAACAAGCTTTATGCACAAGGCGATAAGAATAACGAAGGTAGTAATATGTGTATATGTATATGTAGACAAATCAATAAATAAATCAGAGGTCGTGCTATGTCATGAGCTGGCAGAAGTTAGAATTCAGGGGCCACTGAATCGGGTCGCAGTGGCTTAATGGTAGGTCTACGACTTAGGCCAAAGGAGAGAAAAAGATAGAACAAACTTCTTTTGTAAGCAAGTGCTAATCAAAGTCCTCCCACCCTTTCTTATTTTCCATTTCCTCCGTATTTTTATGATATTTATGTAAACTCTGATTGTCTGTCCACTTTACCTCTAATATTACGCAACTTTTAAGATTTGACCTAATTTATTTCTTGAATTGTCTACATATGCATATACACATATCACTATCTTCGTTATTCTTATTGTCTTGTGCATAAACCTTATTATCATTATTCTGTTAAAATTATTCCTAACGTTCAAAATATTCACCACATTATTATTATTATTAGACTCATAAACTCACCGTCAATAGCTAAATTTATATATATATAAAGCTATGTAAATTAGGTTAAAGTCTGAAAAAGATCTTAATTTTTAGGCAAACAGAGGTACGTGATATTGTGTGAGGAGTTAGTGTTAAGAAAATTCAAATATTTTAATAAACCAGTTGCCTGTTAACCAGTTATATCCTTCCAACACTGTTTTTTCTGGATTGTCTTCATTGATATCGTAGACTGTCTTAGAGTTTGTCTTACATCCTCCCACTTTGTGATCAAAGACCTGAAGGTTCAACTAAAACCCATTAAATTTTCGAAGTATTCAAATATTTGTAACTTCTAAGTTTCTGAAAATGAAAACCCTTGTTACAGATGATCTTTCTCTATGCTTAATTAGAGATAAATATACTTATCGTCTAAAGATTTCGTCCACACTGACTTACCTGAGCGGTTTTGAGCATAACAATGTGATTTTGTTTACACAAACCACGTTTCTTTTTATGATCGGCTAGTTCTACTTCCAAGTTATGCATCAGTTTGTTAAATATTTCCCGTTTCACTTTTATCATTTTATCCATATCATTATTTGACAACAGTTTGACTTGCTGTAGGTAACGCGATGCAATAAACCATTGTTCTGTATCTGGACCAACCAATTTACTTGCCTCGTCAATTCGATTCAACTCAACTTCATCTGGTTTCATGGTGAACTTTTGTAATTCAACCGGTTTTACAAGACTGATAGTTCGATTTAATTCTTGTGGGAATGTTAGGACGTAAATTCTCGACGGATCTGATGAAGGGTCTGTTAAAGGTTGTTCTCTAGCAGTTTGGATTTGACTGTCTGTTTATTTAGATGAAACAAATGAAGGAGAGTAAAAAATGTTACCAAATCGTATACAGTAATATTCAAGTGAAAATATAGTTCTTATTCAAATACAAGATGACATTGAAACAAGTTCTAGGTTTTTTTCTTCAGATAACCAGACAAAAAATAAAATCATACTTTATACTATCCACAATGAGTGCGTAGCATAACCGCATAACAGAAACTAAGATGTGCTAATTAATGGCATTTTAGAAACTAACCAGACTTCGAGCAGATAAACTTGAATTAGTAGACATTATGACTAAATTATGAGCGCATATTCATGGAAATAAGGTTGCATATGTATCAGTTTAAGTTACCTTGGGTCTTAGAGGAGGAAATCCAAATTAATAACCGATACAAAGCTGAAATGTGGCTTTATTTGTTACACTAGATTGTGAAATATATTACGTGACCCAATTTATTTAATTAAATAAATACAGTCATTCAGACACCTTGCTTACAGTAAACATTTTCAGTTGTATTACCTTAACTATAACGTCTTATGTTGGTAAAATAATGTTTGCAGAAAAGGAAGAATCCTGTCAAGAAATTAACTATGGACTATCTTTCTTCGATGACTTACCATCAGATTTGCCTGTAATGACTGACTCAGTATCATCTAAATTGTTTATTAAGTCCGGTCTATTCATTAAACCATATTCTTCAAGATAACGCGTTCTTGAAAGTTCACCTCTCATCGATCTTCCTGGTTCCACTTCCTCCCAAGCTCTCTTTAAAGCTTTAATTTCTGCAGTTCTACTATCCGCATTTATTAATTTCACATCACTCTGAAACAAAAAAAGTAGACTCGGATAGCGTTATATTAGAAGAGAGAGGTTAACTCAAAAGTGTGACGTATTTGCATAATGCATTTCGAACAATCTGAAATCAAATGCCAAGATGGATAATAATTAATAATACTACTTTTGGTAATATAGACGGATGAGGATTATCATGATAGGTTCCGGTTTACCAGATGGGATCATGTTTTCACAAAACAGATGAAAATGTCAGTTGCCATAGATTGATGTATCTTAGGTTGAGCAGAGTTTTGTTATCAAATCAAAATTATTCTGCAATTATAATACGTTTACCTCAGTTTAAACTTCGTAACTATTACTATTTTTTTTATTACAGCTTGATTCCACACAGTACATTTTTGGTAGAAGTATTGAATTTTAAGCATGTGATATCGGTAGCCTAAATTTTGCAGGCTGACCATTAATATCAGGTGTGCGTCGGCAGGGGTTCGAGCCCCGGACCATGTGCATGGTCGGCGAGAGTCCTAACCACTGTGCCACCGACGAAATCAGTTATATTACAATGAGGATACTGACTTTTATTCTGTCATTCAGTGTTCTGTATAAAAACTATTGTTTGGAATAAGGCTGTTATTATTATTATTATCACTATTATTACTATGGCCGAATATCTTATCACTAACTGATTATCTATAGAATTGAAGATATCATACAGATTTGTGCTATCTGAGCCCATTGATCAGATGTGCACTATAGCTAGTTGAAATCGTCTTCGCTATCAAGACTGTAGATAAAATCGTACAAAAAATTAATCAAACATGAAGGGAACAAGATTACAGCAGAATATAGCTACTGTAAAATCATTTGAAGATTACTGGTTGTACACTATAAAGTACGAAAACTTACAGCGTTATTACAAATTATTCTCATTTTCCAATGAGCCTGATTTATATCAATTTTCGCCGAATTACCACGTCCAGAACCAGATTTTTGACCAACACCGCTGGATTTACCTCCAGCAGACTTTGTTGCAGATTTTATGGTTCTACCACTGGAACTTTTATCAGCTGAAGCACTTCTAGACGGATTATTCACTATGACATGAAAAAAAACTGGGTATATATATATAGTTTATAGATAACAGAACCATAGTTATCCTAGATTGGTTTTATACTTGGAAGCAACAGTTCAGCAGGAAAAACTGAAGCTTACTCAACCAAACGATCAGAGAAACCTTGTTCCTAATTTTCGATACGCAGAGTTTATTTTATCAAGAAATGTTTTAGTAGAAAGGTCAATAAAAAGCAGAGTTTGGAAAGCTGAAGTTAACTTCACCCTCTTGAACTATCGTTTCATTCCATGATTAGTGCACAAGATAAAAAGGCCTAGCCCGTGTCAGCGTTAGATTTATTCTGTTTTATGCCGTCATCATAATATAAGGCAGTTAATAAGGTTCCAGCTGGTGTTTTCTTCGACAGTGCTTATTTACAGAGCCCGTCGAGTGATATGTAGCTTTGAACATTTATGTCAAAAGTAAGTTCTCTAAGGTAACAATGGAACTTGACAGTAAATAAATATTTATGGTTTCCGATTCTCATTGATTTGAAGCTTATAGGTCAATCTTTAAGTGAATTAGCGTATATTGAATCAGAATCACCCACATTTGACTCTCATATTTCTGAGGCAGTGGTAATATTTTGCAGTTACTTATTGTGAACTAAACCAAAACATCTACACTAAGTGTAAATTCAGACAAATACTCATAGTTTCTTTACCTAATAAAAAGTATTTTATTGACTTTTAATATCACTTTATATATGCTATTTATTTTAATATTTATTCAGTTTTCTGTATACTAGTTTTTAGCTGCTTAAATTAAAGAATCAGTCTTTTCTTACTGTTTCTTTACATACGAATTCTGTCACACCTAAGTTTTCGGTATTCTTATGTGTAATGACTCCATATGCGAGGTAGATGTAAATCTGAATACCTACAAAACAGAATGAAAGTACCACTTAATTCCAAGAGATCAGATAAACTTCTGGTAACTAAAAATGATAAATATCACTAATTTGGCACATTTATGATTTCATCATAATGACAAAAGTAGTTCAAACAGAAATGAAACATATTCAAACTGACTGGTACAAGAGTTTCACTTTGTAGTGAGAACTAAGTGGCTGAATAAATGTTTAATATTTGGGCTTCCAGCCAACTATCACCTACCACCCAATACTGAATCGAAGTTCATCTCGATGGCGAGTCGCTTAAATTAGTGACCATCCTGAAAACTGACAGACAGATTTCACTCAGGACTGACACAGGCAACAGTAACACCTTAATGATCAATCAATATACATATGATATAAATTAATGGTACAGATTCACATGTCTTAGGGAGAAAAATTATTTTGAATCTGTGTAAACATGTTGATAAGTACAACTTATGGCTAAAATGAAATCAGGAGATAAGATTTACTTCTCATCTCTGAAAAAGCTATGAACACTAAACTGTACTAGTCAGATGAAATTTTAAAAGTTAAAAATTCACTCCTTATTAACAGGAACAAACAGTTATGAAGGTGAATTCATTAAATATAATTATCACTACAAGAAAGTCATAGATTAAGTCAACATAGTCCAGGTGATTATTAATCTAAGCTGCTTATGCAAGTGGAGCTTGCTTGAATGACATCTTTGAGATGTTAAAAGTCAACAGCTAAATATTCTTGATTATGTTGATATCATATCCGTTTACTCTCTTTTTTATCTCTGACAAGTTGGATTTCTCCATAAATGTTCCACTCATGTGCTCGTATTTGTTTATTTTAATATCATTCTATGTGTGTTCAGTTTCTCTGTATATGCAGATCCATTGGTGAAGAAAAATAAACTGGTGAAGTTTTATAGAAAGTTCTACACTGTTATGTTTACTTGTCTGCATTTACTTGTTCGTAATTTGTAGATTTCAGTATATCAGTCCTTTTTATTCTCGATTTTTCATGCTAATAGAGAGATAACAACATGCTTTTTAGTAATTTCGCCAATGCTGCGTATGTGTATTTCATTCAGAGACCTTTGTACGAAGAGAAATCTGATCCAACGTGTTCATATCTCAAGTATTTAGTTTGTAACACGAAGATACGGAGTAATTTTCTCTCCGCTGATAATAGCACTTAAAGCGTGCCCTATCAGATACACTAGTGCTCTTGAAGTCTTGCAATAAGTTGTTACAAGAGAGTTAATATAACAGCTTCTAAAAAACACCCGGCCGACAACTGCTATCTTGTCGTGGTGGTCGGGCTTGATTACCACAGTGAACCAACAAGCTAAACTGGCCAGGAATCATGTTTCTGCAGGTCCTACCATGTCAGGAAGGTTGTTTGGATAGCGGTTAGACTAAAACCAGTTATCATGGGATACATGGGCTCCAGAATCCAATCGGATCAAATGGCATATGAACCTGTATTGGTCACCGGCAAGTATGGGAACGTAGCTCCTGAAGCTGCTTCGCTGCCTTGCGGATTAGACTCCAAGTCAAAGGCTTGGGGCTGGTCCCTTAAGACAACCATCTGCTTCGGTCTAAGAATACTAGACTGCCGGTCTTTCTAGAGCAGATGCCTGGACTCCGATTATGTGTTAGTGTGTGTCAGGTTCATCTTGCGATTTGGTGGAGTTCATAAACAGCGTCATCTAAATGTCGATGTGAGCAAACTGGTAGCACCTGCTACTTCTTTGAAATACCAGAATGAGTTACAATCACTGCTTGCTAGCAACCCCCCAAGTAGTATGGATGAACATTGGCTTCATCTGCAAGACGCCATGCAAATGGCGAGTGTAGCTGCTTGTGGCTTGAAAAAAATGCTTCGCTAAATTCCACTGGGTTTCTGCGAGTTCTTTGCAACCCCTGGATTAACGCCAGTCCGTTCCATCTGGCAGCGAATACAACAATAAGCGAAAGGCGCTTACGCGCAAGATTAGACAGTTTTTACGTAAGGACCGCGAAGTCTAGTGGTTACAATATGCGTGTGAGATGGAGTCAGCTGCTGCATCTGGCAACAGTCGGAAGGTATTCCAGCTCATCCGAGCCACCGGCAGCAGGAAACAAGGTGTCAGCGAGACGGTCTATGAGGCAGATGGCACGCCAATTACCAGTCTGCAAAGACGCCTGGAACGCTGGGCAGAGCACTTCGGGAAGCAGTTCAGCTGGCCACCAGCTTCATTGTCTACTATCATTAGCCCGAGTGCTCCTTGGTCGGTTAGTACCGACCCACCCACCGAAGCGGAGGTCCGTAAGGAACTCCAAGTGTTAAAACGCCATAAGTCACCCGGCCCAGACAATCTACCTGCGGCTCTTTTTTAAAGATGGTGGCGGGACTCTTGTAATGGCTTTAACTGAATTATTCAGGAAAGTATGGTAGACTAAGAATGTACCATCAGTGTGGAATGAAGCCATTATCGTTCCCATCTTTAAAAAGGGTCGATGTAATTCATGCGACAATCATAGAGGTATCAGTCTGCTGCCAGTTGCGTCTAAAATATTGGCTGCTGTCTTGCTCCACAGGCTGTCCAAAACATGTGAGGGATTGATTCGCGAAGAGCAGGCTGGGTTTCGTTCAGGTCGTGGATGCATTGATCAAGTGTTCACCCTTCATCAGTTGTTGGAACAGCGTCACACGTATTGCAGGCCAACAATCGTTGTGTTTCTTGATATTAGGGCTGCCTTCGATTCGTTGGATAGAACTGTGCTCTGGAACTGTCTGTTGGATAGAGGTGTAAGTTTTAGAACATCCTGAAAGCCCCATATAGAAACACCTCAGGTAGAGTGGGGGCATGCAACCAACTATCATCACTGTTCTCAACCAACAGTAGGGTTAGACAGGGTTGCCCAATCTCTCCATTTCTCTTTAACTTTGCCATCGATGACATTCTGGAGTCAGTTCTGAAGGATGTGCGTGAAGGTGGTGTAGATCTGCTACCTGGAGATAGACTTTTCGACCTCGAGTATGCAGACGATATCGTCTTACTGTGCGATAACATGCAGGCTGCCCAAATCGCACTTAATCAGTTGGCGATCAGTGTCTGTAAGTATGGTATGTGCTTTGCGCCGTCTAAGTGCAAAGTACTGTTACAAGATTGGCAGGAGCCTGTACCTGCACTCACTCTTGCGGGTGAACCGCTTGAAGTTGTCGATAAGTTTGTGTACCTAGGTAGTTGTGTGAGTGCTGGCGGAGGGGTGACGGATGAGATTTCCAACCGTATAATGAAAGCTAGGGTGGCATACATCGACTTGAGCCATATCTGGTGCCGTCGCGACGTCAGCCTTGCTGTCAAAGGTCTGGTTTACAATACTTCAGTGCTGGCTGTCTTGCTCTACGCCTGTGAAACCTGACCCCTCCAAGGTGAGGATGTGCGGTGGCTCTGCGTATTTGATAATTGCTGTCTGCGCAAGATTGCTTGTGTTCGATGGCATCATTGCGTAAGTGATTGTGACGTTTGGCGGCGCGTGTTTGAACACAGTGGAGATCACCATTAATTGAGTGTTGTCATCTGAAACACCGGCTTCGGTGGCTTGGAAATGTGCAGCGAATGTCATCCCAGAGGCTTCCATACAGGTCTCTGTTCGCTAGCTCTGGGACGGGATGCAAAAGGCGGAGAGGTGGTCAGTCGATGACGTGGCGTCGTGGGGGGAAGGATATTTGTGTTAGGTTAGCATTGGCTGGTGAGCCACGACTCCCTGGTTGGAGTCCGAGAGATAGCTCGAATCAATGGCTCGAAAAGTTATTGGATATGGCAAAGGATCGTAATCAATGGCGGACCTGCTGTGATTTCCTTCTTTCTTTCCTTTCTGACGATAATTGACGAATGCTGTTTGAACTTGTTAAATATGACTGTTTTCGTTCTAGGTGAAGTACTTGGTCCGTTCTCTACCTGTACTTTTACTTTTAATCTATGTTGTTTTATTATTATTGTTTAGCGCATCTTCTTGGTGCCATATTGTACGAAGTTTTTGTGTTTAAACAGTAATAAAATAATTTTGAAAAACAAACATAGATCAAACTAGGCAATAAAGGTACTTGTACATGTTACCTTGACATTCTTCAAGTTTAGCTAACCGCTTTTCCTCTAAAAATGACCAATTGCTGATACTTAATGGCCACTGTTTAACATCGACAAAGGCTTCAATCCAATAATATCGATCCTCATCTTTCAGGGGATTTTCTTTATCCCCTTGAACAGAAATTGGTTCACTCGAAACGGGACGACTATTTCTTTCATTGTGAGCACTGCTAATACCACTGCTGCCGCCACTACTGCCTACCGTACTACCGCCAGTAGAACTACTTGAACCACTCTAGCAGTAATTAATGATAAAAAAACGAAATATAATCAGTTCATTTCCTTTTATATATATATATATATATATATATAATATACCACCACAAACTGACGTCGATTATGGGATCATTAAAAGCCAATAACCTTTCCTTCTTACTTTCTACTTTTTTAACCGTGGTTATCTAGGATAACTGGAGTTTTAAAGTCGTTTTACCACCCTTCCATAGACTGGTTTATAGATGATGTTTAGGCTCATATGTCTACTGATTACGTGCATATTTGAGCAACACAGCTTCAAATATTTCCTCTTGCTGTTTGAAGTAGCGTACACCTAGTCGGCTGTGGCTATCCTGCAGTGCATATTTAAGGTTTTTATATCTTGCCATCTGGCTGTCGTCTAATGATTGCAATTAAATTGTACCTTTTTGTTTGAAATAATGAATGATATCAACCCTTGCATTTGACTTTAGATATTATATTTTACTTATCTTCAAGAAATAAGGAAGTTTCAGGTTCGTATAAGAGGCTCTGGAGTCTTAGTAATTTGAAAAGATTGACTTGCACGGAAGTTTAATCGAAATTTAATAATACCATTCTCTTATTTACTTTTGGTGGAGTATGCTTCTGTACTTATCTTCTCTACATTCATATTAATATAATTTCGGTGTTCCCTGACGGAATTCAGAAATTTGAGTTGATATGTTTCTGTACACTATATATCTGTCTGTCTCACTCCTGTGTACCAACAAATATTAAGTGATCCCATTCAAAATTTATCTGAGAAGATAAATCCTTTGCAGTTACCATTAATCCACCTATTTTGTGGTCATATAACTTTATCAAGTATCAACCACGTTTTTCGCTGTCCCCTTAGACTTTACCTTACTTGTATCCAGCAAATCCCATTTTCCACTGGCAGATTTAGTCATCTCATGAGACAAGGTGAATTATTTTTATAATTTTTACATGAAAACAGAACATTAGTTTTTTATTTCTAAAAACGCCTTATCACAGTGACTTTTCTCGTTTGGTTTCGTAATTATAGAATACAGTTCAGTTTCAATTAAAATTCCTTTTCAAAACGAACTTAAGTAATTTAGTGTTATTTCACGTGTAACATAAAAAGGTATCAGGGCCTGAGAAAAAGGTTAAAACTACTGAAGTTTTAATAAAGCTGTTATTTATGTTACAAATGTTTCTCTAGGCTAAAAGAAATTTATAAGTGCAGTGAATCGTTCAAAAGAATGCTTTTATCTATGGTTTTATATGCGTAACAATGCATAATCATGAGTTTTGATAATGATAATGTCTTGTAAAAAACTGAAAAGTTTTCCACTGGAACTTCAAATCCGGAGAATAACTCTGTGTTTAAAAGTCTTATCTGGCAGTCTTAATTGATCTGTTGTTTTTGCGTTGAACTATAGTCATCAACTGCAGTAGGACTTAAAAGTTGCTGAGAAGAGCGCTATCTAACCGGTAATGACCTGAATCAATTTCTTTTCTGTCATCACCGTTCCTCAATAATTTTTTGCCAAATTAAGAAGAAACCATAACGAAATAAAAACTAGAGAGCTTATATTGGCAAGTAGTATTCCAAAATATTTTTTTCCCATTTCTAATTAAGGAATTAGTTGAACTGACGCTAGTTTCTTTAATTTCGACTTCCGTTTATTTATATTTTCTTCTCTTATCTATCTAAAATGATCACTATTATGAATAATTGCTTTAGGCGGGTGAATAGGTTTTCCAATAAAACAGTAATAGCCTAAATGGTAGGGATGAAGATGGAACTCATTGGCTGAAGCACTCAGTTTTCATCCAATAGAATACGGGTTTGAACCCACTCACAACCACATGAACTTTAGCAAGTGAGAAATATTATCAGCAATCATACAACACGTATGGCTCATATCCCGTAACGTCAAAGATACATTCTTGGCAACCTGGTCTAAACAACAAGTAGTAGTTAAAATCACTATAAATATACAAAAGTTGAATAAGAGACGGTATCTACTTCAGCCAAAAAGTGCCTAGTGTTGAATAGAATCTGTCGATCAAGTAAGAAATGTGGCCACTAGACTAGGTGGTACAACACCAGTGTTTCGAGTCCACTTGATTCAATAAACTTTTCTTGAAGATTATATGTACACATTCACTCTTACAGTATTTGCAAACATGAGCAAAATCACCTACTAAATATTCTGGCTGGATGGCTTTTCGGGGATAAAATGTGGTCTAAAAAATTTGGTTTAACGATTAATGTGAAGGAAAATAACTGCAGATGGAGAAAACACTATATCTTAAAATTATGATTAAAAGTTAGATTTTGTCGTCAGACAACCAGGAATGATAAACAGCTACTTACTAGCAGTTTTGCATTTTTCAGCAGTACACTCCCACTTTGCCATGAAATATCTAGCTGATAACTATTAGGTTACTCTGTTAAGCAACCACTACGTCAAAATCGAATTATTTATAATTTCAGACTTCCTTAATTTATAACACTAAGATCTTGTTATGAACTAATCAGGTAATGCGAGCAAAGTACACATGACAAAGCTATTAACAAATATATCCATTTTTATTTTTTAAGAAAACTTCTACTCAGCATAGCTGTTACTTTAAAATAAATGCAGGTTGACTACATTCCTTACCCCTGGTTTTATGTTTTTCTTGGGTGTCGTGGATTTTCGTGGAGATACTCTGGCAGTATTTGATTTGACTGCTGTAAGTTTTGGATTCATCATTTCTCTAGGACTTGATTTAATAACTTCAGTTTTTGAGGCCTCTAGAAGACGTCCTGAATTTGACGCTCGACTTTTTCGACCATCTGACGACGACAATGTATCAGATAATAACATGTAGGCGAAAATACATGCACCACCATAACCGTCATCAGATACTACCTCTTTGTCACCCATTTTAATGCATAATCGTGTATGTACATTCGGAACAGATAATCGCAACTGAACTGTTATCAAGCTGTCATTACTAGCCTGTCAGCAACAGGAATAATAAGACAAAAATATATACCAGCAATTAGTTAGAAATATATTTGCAGCTGTAAAGAAATACAACAATTAAAATATGGAGATTTGTAATAAATCTTAATAAATAAACCAATGACTGACGTATAATAAGAGCTTTGTCTGAACTTGATAGTAATAGATTTAAGAATTACCCATATCAGGCTTTAAAAACTGTTTGATTGTTTTGCCCATTGACTATAACGTTACTTTGCATTTCTTACATAACTTTATTTCCTTTAAGGTCGATATGAACATCCAATCTTCAACGGTCAAATAGAATACCTTTTCATTTTTAGAGGGTTAATAAGTTTTATATAAAAGCATTCTTACCACAGAGTGATATAACTTTAAATATAAATAAAAAATACAGATTGTTGGTGTGAGTTTGAAAGTTCTCAAATTTAACAGGATCCTCATATCTCACAGCTTGCATGAACTGCTAATTCATCAAATTTTGAATTCCACAATTTGTATTTAACCGCTTCAGTGGTATACCAAGACTGGCATACCATCTCATCAACTAAACATGACTTTCAACTACCGTTTGACCGACATCATAAGTTAAAGCATTCTCAATGAAGACGATCGTAACTGTTTATAACTAACTAATCATTCGACAAGACATCAGGAACTGGAATAAACTTTTTGAAAAAGCTGAAGACAAGGGACTAAAATATCAAAAAATTCACAGCTCGAGGTAAAAATGTTTTGCTACTGTACTTAAACGCATACAGTTATACAAGAGCCTGGGCAGAGTTGTTGTCTGAAAGGAGAACAGTTGATAATTTTCATCATTCATGCTCAATCAGACCGCTTTTATTTAATTTTAGCTTAAATGTGCTAAATAATGTGATAAAAAATTACGTATTTACAAATTGCCATAACTGCTTATACCTGTAATAATAACAGTAATAATGGTAACCAAATTATTATTGTAGTCATTATCACTACTATTGTATTAAAAATATTGAGTATGAACTTACACATATTCGACGTCGAAATAATAAACCACTAGAATTTGGTTCATAGTAATCTTCTAATTCAAGTATATGGAAATTTGAGCATAAACTTTGAGACGAAGCATTCACTGGCTTGGGCAGTCTTTCAATTCCCATAATACCTGGACCCAAAATTTGTAAACTCCATTTTCCATTTGGTGCCGGTCCACTGCCTGCAACACCCAATAAACTATAACCCATTTTGTTTTCAGGTAGATGTAACCAAGTGTATGGGAAGTCTACTGATGGTCGAACAGTTACGCCTGAAATTTCAAGATGAATCATTAAAATACCAAGAAGTGAATTTAGGTGATACATCGCTAAGACAGATTTTATTTTTTTTAAAGTAATTTAAGTAAAAAAGTACTTTGATATAATTGGAACTAATCGCCTTTAGCTTATCAGTCCTATACTTTAGCAGCTGTCAAACAATGTGTAACCACTAATTTAGTTCTAGCTTCGTACCAATTGCCTAACTTTGTGCACAAGGGTTACTTAAGCAAGCTATTTACAGATGCCCAACTTTTAATCACTTGCTTGTCTGCATCTTTTTATTTAACTAACGAAATGATCGGAGAGTAATGATACATTCAAAGTAGGATACTTTTTCTAGCCAACTGAATGATTTAAACAGGTAAATGGATAATGTAAACAGTTTTCCTCGGAGTCAGAAACCATGAAGAAAAACATACCCACCTATTCTTTGTTTCGGTAGTTGTGAACATGCTTAACCCTATATTATATGATAAATCTTCAGTAGGAGTTTATTATATGTCTAAAACAAAGATGAAAAGTCTGTCCACCACTCCCCACTTCTCATCGAATGCCCAATTACAGTGAGGATGTGAGTCTGTGGCACAGTGGTAGAATGCTCGCCAACCACGCATGTGGTTCAGGTTCGGTCCCCGGCCGATGCACTCCTTTACCTCGCTAAGCCAGTAATAGAACTGGCAAAGAGGGAAGGTTGGGCATGAGGCTAGCAACCCCCATCCCGTAAAAAGAAATAAAACTGCTACCGAAACTTCAAGCCTCAAGCTTGAAGCTCTATGTTCCACTGGGAACGTAATGGAATAAAAAAAACGCAATAAGGATGCTCTCTCCCCGCTAAAATATATTTTAGGCTTACCATTATCATTGTTTATCAACAAGATATAACTGTGAGGTAGTACAGTTTTCATCTGAATTGAATACTTCACTTTCTCTGATACCATAGGTACATTGTTCATTGAATTTGGTAAATAAATACAATCGCGGAACAAAAGATGAATCCAGTCCTTATAAAATAAGCTAGTGGGTTTTTCTGCATAATTTGAAGGTCCTGTGTGATGCATAGGATATTCTGAAGGTATTTCAGGATATGTACCGGAATATTCTTTGACACTTAGATACAGATTAAGATCTTCATTCAGTCTTGTCTGTATCGCACAGTTATTTACCACTGAAGAATTGGATAAGATCAACCTTTGAATAAGTTCATTTCCAACCTCATATTGATTATGTCCTTGTTGTAATATATTTAAGCAATTCATCCAACCATTTGATAAACGTTTAATTTTTCTTAGTAGTATCTTACGCATAAAATATCTCGATTTTGTTTCAGTGTTTTCAGTATCTGAGCGTGAGTTGGTAGAAGAAAGCGTTTCCACAATAAACCTTGTCTGGTTTAGAAGTGTCGCACTTCGAATGCGATGTCCACGAAATAATGATTGTATGCGCACTATAGCAATTAGTATGTCCGGATCAACTGGTTTACTCCAGCGGTTGATAAATGTCTCTTCGACTGTGTTACTAAACAAAAGGAGAAATAAACAGTGTATTGGTATTTCTGCAATTTTCTGTAGCAATAATCACAAGATTACAGAGCCGTTAGTGAAAATGAGTTGCTCTTATATTCACATGATTTAATTATTAGCTGAGAGTTACAGAGTTTTCCTCATTCCTTATGTAACACTTTATATCCGTATTTAGGTCTATATTGAGTTGACAGAGTTTTCAATGACAGTGTAATAGAGTTTCGCGCATGAAGATGACTGATCTTTCATTGTGAACACTCATTTTTTTCATTTTTAGTAAAAACAAAAAAGGTGAAGACATACACCAGTTGCATCACTTCTTGTAGCTTTTGGACAAATTTCAAGAAATAGATGTTCATTCACTAATTCTTTAATATCATTTGCTTGAATCAATACAATACAATCCGCCAAATTAAATAATTATTTCATTTCTTTACACAATAGGAATGACTCAACATCTGTTTCGAATCTCTAAAAGCATCTGGTACAAGGGGAAGCACAAAAAGAAGAAATAGTTGTTAGGCAGTTGGAGACAATTTGCAGAAATCCTAGGTCCTAGGTTCCGAGTTTGTTATCACTCGTCAGCAAGGCGTATATGCAATCCTGAAGGGATTCATGCCCACGCTGATTGCCTCTAACCATTTAACAACAGATCAGAATGAGCCATCTAGCATAGATGTCATATTGCAAATTTGACTGAAAATCTGCAACAAAAGAAAGGGTAGACGTATAACATTAGTTACTAACTAGTGCCCAGTCAAAGAAGGATCAGTACGACTGTTGAAACTAAGGCTGCATTTTTACAGGAGAGTAATAATAAGCGATAACAAATACTACTCTCCATCTTGGATTAAACGAATCGTGTAAACTACAGCTAATTCAACAACTAAAACTAACTGAAGCTGTGCAGTGGTTGTTACGTTTATTTGTCATTTTTAAAGAGCAGTTTCAAAAATTCGGTTTTCGATAAATTCTTCTTCAGGCTATACAGTTACAAATCCATGAATATTATAGTACAAATAGCCATTAAAGGCATGTGAAAATTATATCGGAAACTGTATTGGGGTGCATATATAATATGAAGTGATAGTTCGCTACTTAATACAGTCAAACAAACACATATAAAAAGTGTAAGCAAATCAATAAATAGTGCCATTTTGTCTCATCTAGTAGATAGTGAACACCACATCAAAACAGATAAATCACTTATGGTTGTATATCGAGTACCAAACAATCTGCCTGAAGGAACAAAAATTACGTCTCTTAGCTGTAGCGGAAGCCATAGAGATTAATGAGAGAAAAACTGAGTTCACAAGAATCCCCGACAGTCGTCGATCTTTTTATGAATAAATTCGAAGAAAACATCTTTTCAAGCATACTCACTCCTAAAATATGATTAAGACGAGTTGATGATACTTTTGTAGTGCTAAAACGAGATCTACACAGTTCATTCTTGGAGAAACTAAACAATGTATCTCCCAGCAACCAGTTTACTTTGGAAGCAGAATCAGACGTCGGTTAACTATCATATCTACACTGCCTAGTTAAGAGGAGGGAAAAAAGACATTCAGCGCAAAGGTATCAGTTGTTTGAAGTCTTCTTAGACTAGCACACTCTTTGATAACGGATGAGAAAGAAAAAGAAGAAATATCAAACATTACTGAGACTCTCAAGCAAAATAAATACCCTAAGAACTTTATCAACAAAATCAACACTGATTGGTTGGAGGGTTTCATCATGAGCTGAAATCAGACAACCACGGGCACCAATTCGACTGGGACAATGTTCAAATCTTAGACAAAGAGAACTGCAAAAATGCCAGAGAATTCCTAGAGGCCTGGTATTCAAATGAATCAGCAATCAATAGACACATAGAGATTGACAAAATATACCAATCCATACGAAGAAATTCACACAAAAACAAAGTCAAACTTCAGGTCAAGGAAACAGTCAACACCAAAACAAGTGAACTAGAAAGTGAGAAGTCACACAAAAACAACCAATCACGTTCAAGGTTAGCAGAAGGAATGACTAACGACATTCAGACCAAAGAAGCAGCCAGCACCGAGACAAGCAAACTAGGGGGGTGAAATGTCACAGAAAACAACCAATCACGTTCAGGGTTACTAAAGAGATGACTAATAAACTCATAGAGAATTCTAAAAGTTCACTTCACATCGAAGTATGCGCTGAAGTGTTGCTCAGTAGAGCAATGAAAGCTTCGCAACCAAACCATCCAGCTCAGAGAACACAACCACACCAAGTTAGAGAACCATTGGAAAACCTGGGAGTACTGGACAGCTATTTCATCCTAGTTTGGTACTCTTCAGCAGTGCGCACCCATAGGGGTTCGAATCCAGGACCTTCTGGTTACAAGGCCAGGAACGATGATTAAGTTGTTATATATAAGCTGAAATTTTGTAAATTCTGGTTTAATAATACTTTGATAAAGCTATTAGCATTAAATAGCGAAATGTCAGTAAAAACAATATCGTTTTGTTTTTCATTCATTAGGAAATGCAAAAAAAAAAACATTTACTATGATGAGTATCATATACCCAATGCCCAAATTTGTTCAAACTGTTAGAAGTGACCTTGGTTTGGACCTGACCTGTGTGCAAAAGGAGCATATTTATCCTCTTTGTTTACTCTGGCCTCCTATAAGGTCAGCAGGGACATAATCATTCATGTTTTCATGTCATATTATGTCTCTTATACCTTTTCACCTAGTTTATTTTATTAACTTTATTATGTGTCAACCTTTTGTAATTTACACTGAGCTTATGTTTCCAATATTTTATTACAGTTCATAATTAAACCTCTTTATTTTATCAACCCCAGTTTTCGCCACCTTTTGTATTTGCTTATGTGTATTTTGTGGTAGTCATTTTCCTCTCGCACCATTGACTATAACTCACTTCCATCCCCCTATGAAACTCACATTCTGTTGACTATAAATACACCCTTTTGTCTATTCACACCATATTTGATGTACTGAATGACTGCAGAATTTTCATATACATTCATTTGACAATATTAAGTAGCGAACTATCACTTCATATTATATATGCACCCCAATACAGTCTCCGATATAATTTTCACATGCCTTTAATGGCTATTTGTACTATAATATTCATGGCTTTATAATTGTATAGCCTGAAGAAGATATTTGTCGAAGACAACTGTTCGCTCAAAGTCATCTTGTTCTGATAACAATATGGGGATTTTTAATTTACAAAAATTCAGTTCACAGGTCTAAAATGGATTCTGTGTTTGATTCATTAGTAAAATAATCTTCAATATATTGTTAAATGGGATTAACTGACCAAAAAACAGAAAAGCGATTCATTTCTTATTATTTCTCAAAACACAGATAGTCTTTTATAATTCATGGTTTCCTTGTAAAAAAAACCTTGTTAATAGTTAAACTGTTTAACCCCCCCCCTTTTTTTCAATATTAAAGGCTGCTCACTTCTGAAATGCATTTTTAGAAGTTTATTTACATAATTATAAAAAAGTCTTTACGTCGTGGAAAAACGGGAACTGCATGATCTGAAATCAAAGTTATAATTTACTTACGCCTTCACAGGTTGCATAGTCTTCTCTCCACCTTTAAAGAAAAAAAACCATCAGGTAGACATGATTAACAATGACCACAACTTATGAATCTCGACAACGTGTACACTCAACAAATGATCTAATGATCCGAAGGAATATCATTTTGATTTTTCCGAATTCCCATTTGAGTTTTCACAACTAGATTCTTAAAATAGCTACTAATTTTATAAGTATTTTGCCCACATTTAAGCTCTCATTTTTACCAATCACAACACTTATTTTCCGGCTAACTGTAATTCTGAGTAAGTCAGAGGGGATTACCACACAATCAAGACGTCATCCTATATTGCAAATTTCGTCCTCTTGCCTTGTCGAGAAAATAAAGAGAAGCTTATAATAGACTTGTTACATTTTCTTCGACAAGGTTCTCAGAATTCTGGTTTTCTTCTCCAGATGCGAAGGGCACTGGACAAGAAACAAACAAAGCACGAAATCCAACAGAGGAACACAAACAAAGTGATGTGCATACAGAAGATTAGCACAGGAAGACGACCAGTAGGCAATCCATCAAGCTCATCGGAAGAGTTTTACTAATGGTGTCACCACTAGGTATTTACTTCCGGCTTGTTTCACCTTAGGGTCCTCACAACCCCAATAGGTGGGAGAGTGAACTATGGGGGTCGATAACTCCCCAAAACTATTAGCCACAGCACTCATCACCAAACATCAGATGCTGACCCTCACTGTTTAAGTCGACTTGTTAAGCTGAAAGCTTACGGTCAGGCAGCCACGCGATTTGGAATGACACTGTGTTATGTCCGTTCATTCGTGCACGATCCCTAGCTAGTTAAGCAATCATCTTGCACTCCAATTTGGTCCTGAAATATAATTCGTAATTTGGCCGTTCAACTCTCGTGTTTTGCTCTGCCTCTGGTCTACGCGGAACGAATACTATAAAAGTTGTGGGTGTTGGATCTTACGTTAGTATACTTCTTAGTATTCGTGAACATCCACATCCTCAGCCTCTAAATATATATATAACCTTATCGATGATCATTACGACCAATTCATTTGCTATTATTATGAAACACGATATCCTCAATGTTTTCAGTCCTATATTCGATCATAACTAGTGAAAAGAAGCATAGCTGAGGTGTATAATGTGTTCTGCTGATTAAAATAAGAATCTATAATCTTGTCTCAACTATCAAAAAGAATTCATTGGTCAATTACTGTCACTAAAATAACTGTTTCATGAGTTTAGACCTGAAATCATTAATCGTATACACCAAATATGTTATTTCCTTTCATTATATTTGTTATTGTTCCCTTGGATTCCAAGTGGAACATATGGCTTCAAAAACACATCTCGAATTTTTCCTATTCTATTCAGTCCTCTTTAGGTGGCCACACGATTTCCATAATCTCTTTCTCACACGATCTTCTCTACGTAACCCTCGAACGCCCACTTATCATCTCCCACGAGTAACTACCTGGTACGCGATGGCATTCGACGATACCCTCAGCGTATGTCAGTCCCATCTCCATTTTCTTGTACATTTATATTTATTCAACAATGGGTTCTTGGTTGGGTTTGCTCCCATAGTTTCTTGTTTTTCTGGCCATTTGATTCTCAACATACAGCGAAGCCAGCTGTTGATAAAAGTATTCAGTTGGCTGTTCGGAATGCTTACTGTGACGCGTAGTGCAAGTTTCTGACCATTATAGAAGAATTGATTTAAAATTTGTGTTATACACGAGTGATTCAACTTAAAGAAACCAACTTTTTGAACAACTTTTTATCTGTTTATTTACAGTTATGCTGGATTATCTCAAACTGAGAAATATAAAATGAGAACAAAATAAATAAGTGGAAAATAACATTAACATTTCACTGTAGTTTTGCTTGGAAGTGGAAACTATCCAAAGTTGGTGTGTGTCATAAAAATAGCAAACCAGAAGTTGAACCTTATCTGTATCAGACACTGCTTGTTGAAGTTAGTGATTTTCAGGTAGTCATCTTCATTGTGACGACATGGAGTCAGAATTTTATCTTCTCAATCTTAGGGTCACTTTAACAAATGAAGCACAGTTCATCACCTGAATATTTTAGTTTTTCAAAGCTATCAGGGATTTTTCAGAAAGATGTCATCATTTCAGACTGTGTCTTTTTCATAAATCTAAACACTTGTTTGATAAGTAGTAGATATTCGTATCTAAGCCACAGTCTTTCTCAATATTTCCTGTAAAATATAAAAAATACTACTAATTCTAGTTTTTTTTTGTTTTTTTTTCTGACCAAACTACGATCACCTGGAAAAATCAACTGAAAGTACAGAATTAAGAAAAGCTTACGTGACCCAGAAGCTTTAGATTTTTGTTTCGTTATCGTTGTTGGTGGTGGGTTAGAAACAATGTCTGAAATGTAAACAATGAAAAAAATTATTTCAACCGTTTTAAAGTTCATTGAGTTATTTATTTAAATGAGAAAGATTCTCCCATTGTCTTAGTAGGTCAGTAAAGATATTACTTTAAAGTATAATGTAGTTAATACCGAATTCTATTCTTATTGAATATGTTAATATAATTGGTTCTTTTCGACTAGTAGTTTAGAGATTAAGCTAAATATGTTTTATCTACTCACCGTTAACTGTCACTAAATTGTAAATGATAATATATTTCACTGTCCTTTTTCGAACCACTTCTACGAACAGCCTTTACAATGCTAGAATATGATCATTTGATTCGCTGAAGTAAATGGTCAGAAATCTTGAAAAAATCATGTTTTTATTACACTGTTACTGTCATCTGTTGCTGAATAATATACTCACCAAGACTTCACATTAAGATGCCGGTAAAGTCAGCTGTCGTGTCCCGAATAGGATGAAAAATGCAACAGTTTATGATAACTGGAAATTTTGAAGAAACTGTATATTACTAAATAGTCTTTTCTTTTTATTTTCTAACCGTTTGGCTATTTAGTCCACTTGATATACAGTGAACAACTAGAATATTCAGAAGATAAATTACGTCGATAGCTAACACTACCAAACACAAACTGACAACATTTCCAGTGACGAATAGTGCATAGTCAGTGCAAAATAGAGTGAATACCTCGCTGGTTCTATAAATCTACTGTTAGTAAAAGCATTTCATCTTAAAATAAATTCATTCAAATAGCCTTGGGTAAAAACAATGTCAATTCTGCATCTGTGAATGATAAATAATTTCTAAAATAACCCCCATTCATCGAAAATTCATTCTTAAATGTAGTAAAATTAAAACTTATGTAGTACCAAACACTCACCATGACCATAGAACACCTTGAATGGATTCAAAGTAGTATAATCCATTTGTAATATACGCCATGCAAAATTCATATCTGCAGTCCCATTATCTCCTATCAAACTTTGCAGTATTGATAACAAGATTGGTTTGAACAACTGAAGAAACCAAAATAAAATAGGTAGTCTATGATGCCGAAATTTTTATTTATATGACGTACATTTGTTGCCTGTTAGATATGAACTGACACTAAACAGTTGAAGATTCGCCGAATGCTTAACCTAAAGCTATATTATTAAACTCGCTGTTTGATTTTTTGAGCCAATCAAACCATATCTTTCCAATGAATAATGATATATGCATATTTAGACTGTAGACAAGTTATTGACTAGTGTAGTGTGTCTAGTCCTTTGTTTGAGGTAGACTGAATTCTACCAGTCAATGTTGCAATACGGCCAGCATTCTAGGTGGCTCGCCATCATGGCGCACTGTGAATTGTCGATATTAGATGATTGGAGGCGGTCGGCAGGAAGCCTTGAGTCTAGGTTTCGTGCTAATTGGCACTCATCAGCAAGGCGCATCTGCAACCTTGTAGGAACCCGTGTCCTCTTGAGAGCCGGAAGAGCTCAATGATAACGTCTGTGACTGCAGTATTGAGTGATGTAGGTTCGAATTTTTGAAGGGACATAAGTTCCTTCAAGGTTGCAGACACACCTTGCTGACAAGTGCCAATTAACACGAAACCTAGGTCCAAGGCTTCATACCGATTGCCTCCAACCATCTAATGTATATATATGTATAATTTGAGATATTAAATTGACCAATAAAAAGATCTGCAGCTACCAAATAGCCTAAGAAATTAAAATTTATGATTATATTTGGATAGAATCACAATCTCACAGGTTCTGAACCAACACCTTAAAAAAATCCAACTAGTCAAGAAAACTCAAATTTATTCGTGACCTACATACAAAATATACAAAACTGTATCATTTTATTTTTTATTCATCTTACCTTACGATTAGGCCATATAGCTAATAGTTCTTTCAGTTCTCTTTGTTTGTTTTCTAAGTTTTCCAATGTCTTGTATTCCAGTTCATCTAATTCCAAACTATTTATCAAGCTTCCAGATGTTGATGCTTTATCTGGCTTCATTTGGTTATTATTAATAGATTCAATAATTTGTTGATTTCGTGAATCATTCAAACTTACTAATGCTTCCAGATGAGTTCCTATAGAAACCAGACAACTAATAACCTGGTTTGCGTAATACCTTATCATCAATGGACAAGTTGATATACCATTTGTAAGAATATGATTACTGTCACCAAGAAGTATATTGATTGATTGGAGACCTACAAAGGAAGGAAAATTTAGTTTCTTATTAAGCAGTCTCAGCTAGTTGGTATAAGTATGACGACTGATTCCCACAAGACAAAAGTCATAGAACAGTCTTAGCCGGTTGCGTCTGGGCTACTGATCAAATGCAATACTAACTAAGTTACTTGACCAAAGTATTGATTAAACATTGGTTCGAACTCAAAAATTTATGCACAATCTACCAGGGCACTCCTAAACCTCACTTAGCCTGTAATAAGCTAGGTAAAGAGGGGAGGTTGGGTGTGAGGCTAGTAACCCCACCCCGTAAAAAAGGATAACACCACTGGTACTAAAACTTCAAAGCTTGCATAACTATGTTCTACTCCGATCACAAAGGAATAAAATAAATATTTAGTCATTATCACCTTAGACCTTTTGTCAAAACAACCTTCAGTGGAGATGGTGATGAAAATATGTTTTTGTTCAACTTAAATTATCGTCTGCATAAATTTCAATTTCATTTTTAGCTTTACCTTTAGCAGGTGAGTTGGAGTTTTCTGCTGATGACGAACGTAAGCGCGCAAGAATAGTAAGTGCATAACCCAATGGAGCTGATATACTCAGTTTGTAACAGTGTCTATTCGAAGGCAGTAGCAGCGAGATTGCACGACTCCCAGTTGTTTCAAGACGCTTAATTGGATCACCTTGTCTAGATTCATTCCAGTGATAACACTCAACTAAGAGAGTTGATGGAGGATCAGTTGGCATAACAGGCTGATTAGCTTCATTTGTTGTGGAATGTGAGTCATCTGGTGAGTTGTTTCGTGAGTGTGGAATAAAGTCCCCGGTATTTGAAGCTAAAAGGTTGAAAAAAAATTTATAATGTGATAACTGGTCACTTCTAAGAAATAATTCCAAATTCCAAATGACAACTCACTGGTTAAGCATTTCAGTCTTCCAGTACACGACAAGTCTGCGTAATTCAGAAAATCTTTAAAAGTCTAGCATATACAGAGTGACTTATCAGCTCATAATTCTCAGTAATATTTAAAGGTGCGAAATGGTATGTCGACAAAAATTGTTTACTCGCTCTTACAATGGCTTTCCAAAGTCAAACAAAAGCCTGACCTTTACATTCGAAAGACACTGCAGTAAGTGTTCATGTACTCTGATAATATAAAATACAGAGTGCTACCACCGCTTGCTTCATGACTTGTTATTCTCGTACTATTTACAGAGTACTGTTACCATACCATGGAAACTTGAACCACTAAGCAGTTATGTGGTATTCTACTTTAGTTTTGCATTATATGAGGCATATTCAATATCATGATTTTCAACCGACATATAATTAGTGCAGGTTTGGGTCAAATTCTTTATATCACTCTGAATGATTAATACTTGTATTATCTCACTGGTAATTATGAACTACTCAGCAAATCCTTCTGTCAGCTGATACGTATTGTTATTACTTGAATGAAAAAAGACTCATGTACAATGTATAAATGGAGACTGATTTCAAGTGAAAAGAAAGCCAAACCAACCGTTGTACACTTCTAACAGCGAAGTGTACAGTGTTGGTTGTAGAGCAGTGGCAACTTGCATCATACTTACGAATACCGAATTGAAAGAAATAAAGTGAACAACAATCAGTAGTATGCCATTTTTCAGTCGACTAATTTTAATAATTTTTTAGTTATTATTTTCCACTTACCAGTTTTTGTTTAAGTAATAAAATTCGTATTTTTAAATAAAAATGCTAGGATTCTATTAATGGCTAACTATTGTCAACTAGTTCCTTTAATGATAATATATGTAATAATAAGAACAGCTTTATTTTGGACAATATTTTTAAACATGGTACAGAATTTTCGGCTTATTTAAATCGCAAAATATCCACACTTCGTGCAGGATCTTCAAGCGAAATAATATTCGACAGTACATTGTGTGACAGTGTGTTGTCCCATCTGAAGCAATATCCAGTCATCTACGGTATTTTTCCTTCATTTTCTTTTACAGTGATCTTCATTAAGTCGACAGCAAACTAAAAATGTACGCAATCCATGGACATAATTAGATGATCAAAACGATTAGAAATGGATAAATTTTTATTCATTATCCTGAATGAAAATTTAGGTAGCCTCCAGAGAATGAAATTATATTGTAACTTCTGAGATTTATCTGAATACTTCAAGGACAAAAGAATATTGGTTAATCACTATTATGAACTTTGTGAACAGTACTTCTGGATTTTATGTAGGCGCGTGTTGTATGGAAACGCCTACCAACGTTTTAGATTCAAATTCAAATGCCACATGTGATACTACCTTCTAACTTTGTAAACGCAATAACAAATAGTGTACAGATGTGTCAAATCATAATTTAGTTGTCATATTATAAAGTTAAATATCATACTTCTCCCGCCAGAATTTTACTGACAGATGCTAGCGTCGCAACTGTAATCGAGAACTCCAACACAGAATGAAGCCACTTTAAACCCCATAAATAAGTGAATTTTTCACAATCCGGAGAATATCTAATACTGGTATGTACATGAAACATAAATCAAGGAGATCTTGACAATTAACCACTAGTCCCTAATTGAAAAAACAGTACACTTCTGTATCATGAAAGTCAGCTGAGTAATCACCTAAAAGTACAGAAGCTTGACTATATAATTAAATGAATACCATTTCCACAGACAGATTTCCAAAGATTTTCGCTTAGCTTTTCCTCCTTTGCCCCTCCTTTTGTTAATGACTTGCATTATGGATCCATCATTTAAAAAGAAAATGGACATTATCACATTGATGATGGCACAATTAACTGTAAAATCTATGCTACTTCACTTTGATTTAGAAGAAAGACAACAGTTACAACTACACAGTAGACACATCCACTTATCACCCTAATTCCTTAAAAGTTCTATTTTTATTATCTGTCAGCTTCCACTCAGGAATGCTATATTCCCATACATAAGTTACTTAAACAATTTTGAGACTTCGTTCAGCTTAACCCTTACTTAATTCAGGGAAAAATACACATTAAGGTAAGCTGTCTTCTATACTGAGGAAACAGATATAGGTCACTTTAATTGATTACAGCACACAGCTGCACCACATAATTTACATTTCGTGGAGAACACCTTGTGTTCAGTGTGAAGATCATTGACCATGGTTGATTTTGTTACACACGGAAAAATCAAGAAACTTCGTTGACTGAATTCCCAATGCCTACTTATATTGTTCACATTTATAGCTGAGTTTATACTGGAAGGGTGGATATCATACCATTAATTCTAAAATATCTTACTTTTTTCATGCCCATACATTAATTAAAAAAATATTAGGCTCTGCAAAAAGATATGATTAAACCTTCGAAATAACAACTAACCTGACGTTGTAGTGACCACTGGTAAATTATGAGTACTATGACGTTCATTAGCTGGAACTGTTATAGTTGCCTCTGTTTCAGGTATATAAGAAAATCCCCGAGAATAGGATGGACTAAATGTTTTGACAACAGGTAATGGCCATTGATAAACAACTGATAATTGAAAGATAATTTCGCATGGATGAATACTATCGCAAAACAGATAATGAACTGATGGCGATGCATCAGAAGGCTGAAAAACAAATCAGTTTTATTTTATTGATTATATTGTGGGATATAGCAATAAATCAGACAGGTTGACCTTCATTTTAAGCGGATAATAATATAAAGTCACCTTATTAACAGCACTGGTTCTACTAATGTGATGAGAGCTGTCTGCTAGCCAAAATTGGTGGACAGCAATTTAAGTCAATGTTTACGTCCAAAATCTCGGTCATGAGAAAAAAACAAGAACAAAGACTAACTCAACAACCAATAACAGCAGACTTAGCGTGGGTGGATACGGTTATTAATATATGTGTAAAACTTGGGCACTGTGGTAGTAAGTAAATTCATATTAGATTTGATAGTGTGGAAAATTCCCATATTATGAATTAAAAGTCAATCTGAACGAAGAATATTCTTTTCAATAATTTCTCTTCAGGTTCTTACAATTATAAAATATAGTATTTGTTGTCGTTACAATAAAGGCCAGTTATGCGGCAGATACATTTTTTAACGTAGAATAACAGATTAGTTATGGGGTGTCAAAATAAATAGTCGTATTTGTGTGACAAACGTGCTAGGCTGAATTCGATTACAAAATATTGTAAAACGGGAGACAATGGTGATTAGTCATAATAGATTTGTAGAGTGGGGGTAGGAAAATTGACAAGTCAGTTCAAGGTTATAAAAGGTGTCAGGTGAGTGGCTAGTACAAAGTGGTATGTATTAAACAGGAGATAGTAAGACTGCAATGGGAGGTTCATAATGAGATAACGAATATGTGAAATGAAACAGGTGGAGGCATATATTGAGAAAAGAGATAATATCACTAATAATAAGTCCGGATAGTATAAACGAAAAAACGAAAAAAAAAATTCGATATTATTGAGAGAATGTTTGCATGAAGGGCATAAATTATGACGAATAATATTAATAATAAAATAATAATAATAATTGTAATAATAAGCAAAGGAAAAAAAAGCCAAGAGGGTTAAGGGGAAGGAGCACTCTTGGTGAGAAGAAGAATCATCAATCCAAGTTTGGCCACGGTAGGAACAGCGTCTGGACGTGTTCTTTTTGGATACAAAGTTCCGGTTTAGTCGATCTTATTGCAACAGCTTCAGCTATGTGTAGAAGACGTAAGCGAACTGTACGTGATAACGACTTCGGAATTCGGTATATAACCCTGAAAGCTGTGTTGACATCGAGAAATTATTGAAAAGAATATTCTTCGTTCAGATTGACTTTTAAATTCATATTAGTTTATTTATTAGATGTATCACACAGTGAAACAGTATTATTTACTGGATGACGTTTCGAACAAAATTTATTGTTCATAATCATATCAATTATAATCACACGACTTCAAAACTTGAGTTTTATAGTTTTCTTTGTTCTCTCCTATTTGTCGTAGGGGTAGTAGAATTCTCCAGACGTCCAACTGGACAGGTGTTGAATCATTCCTATTAAACGTGTTTGCAGTTGATTCGATTCACTATTCACCCCGACCCTCTTTAACTCTCCACCACAAGATGTGTGAATTCACCCTGCTCTCTGACCCTGACTCTGTAATATGCCTCTAACCAATCTGTGTTTTCCAATAGAAATCTGAACTCTAACCCCTCTTATCTAATTCCACTATATATAATTAGTTGTTTTTTTAGACTTCGAATAATCTGTCTACCTACATCAAATTCTGGAATTATGTTCCTTATACCTTCTATCTATAACTCCAAGTAATTATGAAAAATGAAATATCCCCATATTGAAATCAAAACAAGATTTTGAGCGAACAATTGTTTTCGATAACTTCTTCTTCAGGCTCTACAGTTATAAATCCATGAATAATAGAGTACATATAGCCAATAAAGGCAAATGAAAATTATATCAGAAACTGTATTGGGGTGCATGTGTAAGTTGAGATGATAGTCCATTAGTTAACATAATCAATCAAATGTATATAGGGTGTATAGTCAGAAAGATGTGATGAAGTGTGAATGAACAATTGGGTGATATGGTGCTGTTTTATAGTCAACAGAATACAAGTGTCATTGGGGTGAGAGAAATGCGATAGCCACAAAATACATACAAACACACATTAACAAAGGGGATACTGAATGTGAGGGCTGACCGATAATGTCTAATGATAAAATAAAGAGGCTAAATTGTAAATTGTGATAAGATGTTACAGAGTTGGTAGGCTTAGTGTAAAATCACAAAGGTTGACAAAATTAAGGGTAACAATGAGGTGAAATAAACTGGGTGGAGAAATGGATAATAAAGACATGATATCACAGAATGATAATAATGGTAATAATAATACGGAAAATTATGATCCTGGTGACCTTATAGTGGGCCAGGGTAGACAGAGAGAGTGAATAAGTTTTTTCTGTACACATAAGTCTGGTCTTTCTCTATTAATCTCTAAAGCCTCAGCTATGGCTAGGAGGCGTAATCGTGTGCCTTTGGGGAGATTGTTTGGTACTCGATACACAACTGTAAATGACTCTTCTACTTTGATGTTGTGTTCGCTATCCACTAGATGAGCCAGAATTGCACTATTTAATGATTTGGTCGCTCTTTTCCCAAGCCAAACCGGAATATGTTCACCAGTGCGTAAAGATAAATTCCTTTGGGTACGACCTATATAACTAGCTCCACAGGAGCAGTTGAATTTATATACACACATTGATGTCGTCATTTTGGGTAATCTATCTTTAATGCACAGTGTCAATATCGGTTTGTTTGAGAAAGTGACATGCAGTTTTGCGGCACTGAAAGTTCTTTCAACTGCTCTCGTTAATCTACGGTTTAATATATCGCTGGATATATCGCCTTTGAATTGTAAATTTAAGTAAAGCTTTTTCTTACTTACTGTGTCTCGCTTAGTTTTGTGTGTAGTTTCATAGATGTACTTCTTTACAAAGTTGGTAGGATAGTCGTTTTGTAGCAAGGCGTCTGTGAGATTTTTTATTTCATCTTCAATGCAGTCGTCGGTACATATGCGCCTAATTCTATGACTAAGACAACGAATTAGGTTGCGCTTATATTGAATGGACTGTACACCCACTTCCATAGCTTCATACCTATACAATATAAGCGCAATGTATGCAGTTGAAGAATATCCACGAAATAAAACGAGCTCGTATTATTCTGCAAACATGTTCGTTCTTTCTCTCTTCAAACTAATAAAGGGAACCGGTTGTATGAAACAAAGCTTCCGTTATCAATCTCTCCCTATACCCTGTGACATTAGATTTTAAAACTGTCATCTTATCCCATCCTATTGTATGGTTGTGTGTAATTGCATGTAGTGCTATAGCTGAACTATTCTCTATATTTTAACTGGTGGATGGTGACTAACACTAGAATCCAGGATGCCCATTTCGTCCTATTTGGGACTCGTCATCTGGATGTCTGTTTTTAACAAAGGAGGAATAAAAGTGGCATTCATACCAACCACAAACTCTATCAGAAACAAGCTCTGCTAGGTAAAGGGTCCTATAGAGCGTCGGTGGCACATCAGTTACGACTCTTGCCAACCATGCACACGGTCCGGGGTTCGATACCCTGCCGACGCACACCTGATATCTATGGTCGGCCTGCTAAATTTGGGGTACCGATATAACATGCTGAAATTTCATACTTGTATGAAAACCACGGTGTGGAATCAAGCTATAATCAAAAAAGTAATAAATAAATAAATAAAAACAAAACAATTTAGTTTATCTAATACCCTGCCTGCAATGATCGTCAGGTCAAATACAAAGGTCAGAGTAGTAGAACAAGGGCAGTCAGACTAGCCAAGCATAAAGACATAGCAAATTCTAGATTGTTTGACCCGAATAAGATAAGAAATCTAGAGAATAGTTCAGCTATAGCACTACATGCAATTACATACAACCATACAATAGGATGGGATAAGATGACAGTTTTAAAATCTAATGTCACAGGGTATAGGGAGAGATTGATAACGGAAGCTTTGTTTATAGAATCAACTGCAAACACGTTTAATAGGAATGATTCATCACCTGTCCAGTTGGACATCTGGAGAATTCTACTACCCCTACGACGTTGGTGCGTTGGTGGCACAGTGGTTAGGACTCTCGCCGACCATGCACATGGTCCGGGGTTCGATCCTCTGCCGACGCACACTTGATATCTATGGTCGGCCTGCAAAATTTGGGCTACCGATATCATATGCTGAAAATTCCATACTTGTACTGAAAATTCGGTATGGCATCAAGCTGTAATCAATATAAAATAGGAGAGAACAAAGAAAACTATAAAACTCAAGTTTCGAAGTCGTGTGATCACAATTGATATGATTATGAATAATAAATTTTGTTCGAAACGTCATCCAGTAAATAATACTGTTTCACTGTGTGGTACATTTAATAAACAAACTAATACGGATACGATTAGCAGAAATATCAACAAACTGTCTAATAAACGGCAACAAAGAAAAGACAGAATAACCTTCAGCAGGAAAACAACCAATGAAAAGACGTTACATCTCTGCTAACAATAACATATAATAATGTACATAAAATTCTATAAATATCTGTTGATTTTCTCAATAAGCGATCTGTTTCCTGGCCCTTGTCTTCTGTCGTTACATTAGTTGTAGACTAATTAGTCTTTTCATATGCTGACAAGCCTTTACAATTAAATACTGTCTTTGAAATATCATGGAAAATGAAATGATAAGTCAAACATTACCGTTAATTAGAAACGAAACACATTGAATCATAAATTAAAAGGAGGAAAATGTACTTTGTGAAACGTATCTCATCAGGCAGACTTAAAATAGTGAAGAGCCTCTGGAAATAGTTACTTGAAGGGAAGTGCTAGAGAGTGGGAACATTCTTCATGAAGAAAAGACATTTGGAGGCTTGAGGTAAGAGCATGCAAAACGGATTAAAAACAGGTTACCTACAAAACTAAGCATTTTTAATGAAACAGTCCAAATAAAATGCCTTTGTACCGAAAGTTCATGTCGTACCTAGCAAGATCTTCACATATGCTAAAATGGCATAGGTCTACTCAGTTAGAACGATTTGGTTTACCTCATTTATGACACTGAAAGAGTTGTGTGGTGACAATGCTCAAAAAGTCAGGTATTGATTAGTCTGCATTTTCATCTCCACAACTTTAGTAACAAGGTTTCACAGGATTGTCTTGACAATATCCTACTGGTAGAACCCACGTACTCAGCTTCACAAGATAAACCGGACTGATACAAACAGTGGTTCGCTGAAAGTGAGAATTCTCCATCGACGTTTCGATTACCGAAAGTATGCTCAAAGAAAGTAAGGCGCAGGGATGCAACAAAAATCCTTCCCGAAATGCTGTCAGAAAATAACTTCGAAGAAATACCATAAGGTTAGAAAGTCTCTCAAGAAGTCCCACCCCCATTGCAGATTCATAGAAAAAAGCCGGAAAACAAAGAACTCAGCTGAATAGATCCATGAGGCTCCTAAAAAGATTTTGCTTCTAAACTTAGAATTTAAGGGTGACAGTGGAGCAGAAATTCTCTAGTATTTTAGATGGAAGTGGAACTATTTCATTACAAGAAGGCGTACACATAATTTGTATCATGAATGCTTTAAAATTAAAGTAGTTTTTATTCTCATCAACAGGAGAACTCTTTTCACCCTCGTTTACATTACTATAAGACAAAAGGAGAAATACAACTGAGGAGCTTTACTCATCCAACAAGTGAATATGAATAGTGACAGAAGTCTTGGATAAAAGAAGTAACAATAGCTGAGGAAAATTCTCTGAGTACTAACATAGTGATTCAGCGTAGAATCATGTAGATTAAATTATCAATTGGAACAAGAATTGTTCTAGCCTAGGTCAGTGAGTATGAAGACTCATTTGCTGAATAGTGCTTTAAATAAAATTCAGTTTAAATGGACTATGAACTTAACGTTAATTATGAACAACTAACTATGATTGTGTATATGAGTTGCTTGAAGAAATAACTGAAATTATGGAGAACCGCAGAAAAGTACTTTTTCCTAGGAATGAAAATTAACAATTCCATATGTGTATCACATATTTATAACCTTCAAATCTTACAATGAGCATATCGCCATTGAATCTTTTGGTTAGACTTCACTTTTCCAAATCTATTTGGCACACTCAATAGAAGGAATCCATAATGAGTTACCATCACGGGATATTCATCTTCATGTCCAGAGTGAAGACATTACAACGAAAAATTAGAGTACTGAAAACTCAGCTACTTAGAGTTGTCTAACGTGGAAAAAAATATGAATGCTCAAAGAACAGAAGTAGCATATCTTCTAAATACACAAAATAATCTTATCCACAACAGTTGCTATAACAGTAACAACAAACGTATGAAATGAGACTTACTTTTAAATTTGAGTGAGTTCTGACTATTGAGTATGTATTCGGTTTGTGATAAATGTCCACCGTCCTATATATTTAATGTACAGAAGATTTACAAATGAGGACAGGGACTGACTAGAAATGTAGCAGTTTAAGCAACCTTCCAATCATACATATATCTAGCAACCTAGCTATTCAAATTTGTTCATATCCAAACGAGTCCGACTAGGGATCCTTTCAGGCTTCAACACTCAGAAGCACAAAGGTGAGCCTTCATCTGGGGCACAGATTTTTGTGATTAGCCTGGTTCCAACTAAGTTCAGTGCTAGAATTAATTTCCTCAGAAGAGTATGGTAACTGAAGTAAGATGGAAAGCAGGCTGAAAGGGGATTCCAAATAGCGACAACTATGAGACTAGGCTAATGTTTTTTTGAGATGGGCTGCAAAGCAAAACCAGTTCTGACTTCACATATAGAATGTTCCATTGATATTACATAACTGCATAACGTATCAAGTACAATACATTGCTCATAAAAATATAGATGTTTTTCTGGTTCTAGTTTTTCTTTTCCATTTGTCATAGAAGTAAAGGAATAAACAGACGTATAAAAACCAATTTTTGAAGTTGTAGATTCACATTTATTACGACTGAAAACTAGAAATTTTGTTCGAAATCTAATCCAGTGGAGGAATATTTCCGCACTGTTTGAAATATCTAGTAATTAAACTAATATAGAATTACATATAACCACAGTGTTTATGTTTTAAATACATTTACGTGGTTGACACCTAGTAAAGAAGATTTGACAATGTTAAACTCTAAGCACCAGTAAGTAGCAACGGACAAATGACCTAGAACGCATCAACCATATCGGAAAAGACATTTTCCACTGCAGAGTAGGCATATTTATCACAATATTGAATAAAAGACATGGAAATGTTACACAGGATACCCTTCTCTGAAATGTCACAAAAATGCCTCTCACTTTTAGATCCGACTGTCAACACAGTAATTTAATCACATTCTATACATGTACTTATCTAGGTCTTCTAATCCTGATAATAACGCCATTCTTCCCCGAACATAAACCTAAAGTGGAAAATATCTCTAAACTAACCATAATCTAACTCGAACCAACACTAATATCTCCCTCATCAAGTTGATCTAACCCTCACATATTCTTAACCCAAACCCTAACTGAATACTTCTCAAACACTACCTGTTTAATATCATAACACTTCACTAAGCATGTGTGATGCATAATTACAAGAATATGTGCTAGTTTCCACTAACTTGCCCACTGAGCGTTTCAAGGTCATTGTTGCGGTGCACACCATTGGTACTTATTGGTGATTAAAGTTTAAGTTGGCCGAAGTTTTTTTATATTTAAGCTGTACTGAAGATGAATAGATTTATTCCTACACGATTTTACTGCTGGCATAAATTCATTTTACACTAATTTTATCGGAATTTATTAACACCATTAAGCAATATCTGCGATAGCTTTGATAGCTATAAATAAGGTAACTGTCAGGCAAAACTGTCTGTAAATGTAGAACTCTTTCAGGACTTCTTCAGTAAAAAAAAATATAGTAAGTAGACGATACTAACGTGTTAAGCAATACTTCATGAGCGGTCTTCAGATATGTATACCGTAGTTACAGATTATAAAGTTTCTTATATAAGCCAATAACAAGACTTGTAAATGAGCTTTAACTTGTTCTAATTTTTCATAATTATTTATCCATATTTGCATAAAGATGACTATGTAGTACGAGCAATCTGCTTTGTTATGACACAGCTCTCTAAAAGTGTCCATCAGATATATGAGAATTCAGAAATCCATAGTTAACTTAATAGTTTGTGGTCTGATAAACAAATTTAATGACATTAATATTTCGATCACATCATTCAATTCAAAGAACAAGTGTTGTCAGGATACGTAAATTTACACTGATAAAAACTCACCTAAATATTTGACAAAAATCACTTATATCAAGCCAGACTTCTTTAGGACTGGTCACTGAGACAGATTTAACTGGTAAGATTTCTAAAACAGTCTCTTCAGCATTTGACTTCATACGACTTAACTGCAAAGAATCGCTTGAACGTGAGCCAACTGTTTCCGTTCGATTGCTTCCTTTAACTTCTTTTGACTTGCCACCTGAAGCTGATACATTTAAAGTAAAACAGACAAAAACCAGAGGTAAGCGTTATTGACAATACAGTTAGCAGTATAAATAAAATAAAATATGATCAGATAATATTTACAGTTATCGGGTGTCCCAGGGAGAGATAACTACTCCAAGTTGGCCAAGGGAGGGAGACAGACTGAACAAACTTTTTCCGAATACAGAAATATAAACGGTTTTCTAAATATCCACTCGAAATAGCGATGTAAACCATTGTTTAACTGAAAATTCACCTTGACAGCGCACAGATTACAATGATCGAATCTAGGTTTTCTGTAGATGAATGAAAACCAAGGTGTCATACAATCTATATGTCGTTGCCATGTCCTTTAGAAAAACTAAGAGTAATAATTCTGGGAAGACTGACAGTAGATTGTTGCAATTTTCGCCCTTCTGATGAATATTTAACTTCCAGTAACCAAATATGCCAATGAAGAGCAAACGTTTTGGTGAAATACAATTATTTCCAGATGGTCAAATTGTAATACCTATTATTATTATTTCCTTTAATTCCTAGAGGAACATAGGGCTTCAGCCGCATGTCTCCACTGCGTTCAGTTCTCTGACAAAGTTTACACCTAGCTCCACGTCTGCCCACATGCTTTCATCTCCTCATCATATGACCTCCTCCATGTCACCGTCGCACTGACGACCAACTCGCCGCTTCCCATTCGGGTTCCACCTGAGCAATTGCCTAGGGTGTGATGTCACTCACTTGATGGTTTGTTTTCTCAGAGTATGGCCAATCCACCTCCACTTCTTCTTGCATATTTGTTTCAGAATTGGTTCCAGCTGGGTTGGTTCGCTCATTGCCAGAGATCCCTGTTGCTGATCTCTTCTGGCCGGCCATCTGATCTTGAGTAGTATTGAGCGAAGACAGCTGTTGATGAAGGTCTGCAGTTTGTTTGAAGTGCCCTTCGTGACACCGCGCCAAATCTCTGATCCATAAATTAGCACTGACTCCACATTGGAGTTGGAAATCCGGATGTTATTTTCATTTTCATGCTGATTGCTGTTGATCTCCACACAGACTTGAGAGTAATGAAAGCTTGTTTTGCTTTCCCGATCCTTGCTTTGATATCCTCGTCAGTTCCGCCTGTAGTTGAAACGGTGCTTTCCAGTTAGGTGAAGAAGGTTGCTTCTTTCAGATTTCTCCCATTTATGCTGATTGTTGTCTGTTGCTGCTGCTGTTGCTGTTGACCTATACCTCTTGTAATATAAATACTGTCTATTCCAAATTACTTTTTTATCCAGCTTTTCTAATAGCTTAATTAGATTTAGTTCATAGAGTAAAAATTTATGACCATTTATCTTCAAAACTAATTGACTATTGCTCCATCCCATATTATACTGGTTCCACAATACACTTTCTGGTATGATTCTAATTTGCTTTTACTGGCTAGTATTTGTTTAAATTAATGGATTTATAATTGTAGAGCCTGACGAAAAATTTGTTGAAAACAGTTGCTCACTCTAACTATTTTTGTTCTGAATAAATTATGGGCACATTCAAGTTATGACTAATTCTCCTGGTTTCTTTGTATACCCCTTCAATTCATCACTGTTGACGAGTATAAAGTTCAGACAAGAAAAGACAATCTGCCAACCAGTTCCAGGTAGCAACCATGCTTAAAATGAACAAACTACATATATTCAAAAATTTGCTTGATAAATACAGTAAATTATTACTAGACAGCCCACCTTTCTTTTGAATGTCTTCACGTGATGCCCTTTTCTAAAAAGAAAATTATTAAAAAGAAAACTGGACACAATAACTATGTTTACAATTCTCAGTGATGAAAATTTCCCTTGTGATTATTTAAGTAACTTCATTTGAATAGAAATGCCAATTTTTCACAAATAAAATTACAATAGTTCTACTACGAAAAACAGATGGCATTTCCCGGATATGCCGTAGAATACCGGTGGATTTAGTGGAAGTATGACTAATAATAGCAATATAATAATAATAGTTTTATACTAGACAAAGTCTTTACACAGTTTGCAGGACTCTCAGCGCAATTTACTGCGTAGTATTTCCCCTGCATCTAGGATTTCCAAAGGAAGCAGCAATCTGCAGTATATCGTGCAACTCAAGGCTGTTTGATTTGAAGCGTAGACAAATCCCTTATAGTATTTTTGCTTCATCTCCACACAGTTTGCATTCTTCAACCAATCACTGAGCGTGTGATTTTGGTTTACATTAAACTATATGAAATAGAATGTTCAAATACATATATTATTCTGTTGCTAATGCAGTATTGAACTATGGAAATCGTATTCAAACGTTAACACCAACATATACAATGATTCTTAAAGTAAGAATAATATTCCGTAGGAACCCATTGTCTATACCCCACCACCACAGTATTAATAGCAGGAACTATCGTTTGGGTTATGTGGAATATTCATTGATCCTTAACATTAATAAGAATAATGCCTTATTCTTCGCCAACGCAAATAGAACAATGTGTCAAGGTTTCGGTACAGAAATGAGTCATCCTTTACGAATTTTTCGAAACCAGCTTAACCCTAAAATTATGTCAAACAAAAGCAGTGTAGAGCCATTTAAAATACTGCATGAAGCATTTTTAGCATCATAGGATATGATCTCAGATCAGCTGAATGAACGAATTCCACTGCAAAATGACATTAAGCCTTACAAAATTATATTAAACGTAGATTTCAGCACCAAACCATATCAGTTAAAGAATAAGTGCATAAGTAAAGACAATCCACTTCGTAAAGGTAAAAGTACAGCTCTAATTTTGCGTCACACTACGATCATGTTGGACACCAAGTAAACTTTCTGAAGTCTGTTATTAAACGATTCATTTCAGGAATTATTCCAAGTAAGCATGTAATGTTCTTTGTCTACATTACCAAGATGTTTATGTAGAACTTAGTGTACTTCTATACATTTAGCGAAGTCTAACAACTAGTTTGATTACTCTTGAATTTTGCCTACTTTAGTTTATTGTGATCCATTCACTTAGGTGCTGTATGTTCAACTAGGTTCAGTCGAAAATAATCTGCTGCATGCACCTGCATATGCTGTATAATATTGCTCACTGGAGGGAACATTCTTGCTATTAAATCGGGTAGTTCCTGAAGTTGTTGTTTCAACAAAACTCCCTTCTATTGCGACAATGAATTAACGAAATAATCTACCAGAATGCACCAATAAGGATAAATTAGTTACGTAATACTAATCAAATAGACAACTTGTGATTACCTTAAATAAATTTAATAAAAACACTTCCCACATTTTACACTAGATTTAGAGGTCACAGGCATAGTCATAACATACTGCAGTAGTGCCAACAAAAATGGTATGAATAAGTGTACAGTGTAACAGCTTACTGGGTATTTTGTTGAACTTTGAATAGTTGAGGCTGATTCCTTTCTGCGACGTCCAAGTGGACCTTGAGAGCCTGATCTACCCTTAACTGCACCAGCAGTTTGTCGTCCAGTATCAGGTGATGAACTAGATGTATAAGACGATTCAGCAGTAGAAGTTGAAGGATTTGCTCTGGAAAATAGAAAAATATGCGTCTGTGTAAAATGTCTTTCAACTCGATGACCGACATCACAATACAAGAGTACTAGTGAATCAGTCAATCCAAAATTAAAAGTCTCTTTTAAGTCCAATCATTAGTGACTTCCATAACACATGAATATCCTAGAAAAAGGACAAGGTTCTTTCTTTGTATTAAAAACATTTTAAAAAACTGAAGTGAAACTGGAAATGATGGAAATAATGCTTGTAGTCTAGGATGCACAAAATGAAAAACTGTATCCCTCTAGATTAGAATTCTGTTTGAAATGTTTCATGGGTCGTTATTCAATGTAATTATGTAACCCTTAGTCTTGGAATGACATGAAGGCACAGTTGTTCTGACCGTGTAATATTTCTCGATCATTAAGACAGGAAAGTTTATTTTAGAATAACTGGGCGACTATTCCAACATGGAGGATTATATCTATTCCTGATTGCTTCATATACTTTGACTGAAGGACAGTTAAGTGATTACAGTAAAAGTATAATATCATTTACAGTTCATGTGAAGTTCCTGCAAAAAATTCAAACGAACTATAGCCAGATGCTCAAACCACACAGATATGAACACTATCTGTACCTTATAGTTTATGAAGAAACATAAATTCGATTAGACTTGAGGTCAGAGTAATAGTCTGATGTAACTTTGAAGTCAACATAGGCGATTTAGAAAAGAATTGGACTGTAATCAAAATGAAATTTTTTAAAAACAAATATGGTGATTTTACATCTCTTCCTTTCAAACAGTCAGTAGGAATTTACATCCTCCTCCATCCCTTATCTTTCCCACTGCGAGTAATTAATTGTAGATTTTATGTACTCATTATAGCTAATCAACATCGAGATTAATTGTTACCGACAAGCAGTGTGAGTCTGGGATGTGCTGCTCGACGCCGTTAGAAAACTGTGGTTTGTGTACCACAGACTAGTTAAGTTCGCGAATATTTCGAGCCTAACTAATACAAATTCGGAGTTCAATTTTTTCCTTCTTTTATGATAAAACTTTATTTATTGGAAATGATGCATTTAAGAAGTTTATCTTTATTTTGTTTTCTGGAAATGCCTTAACTTTACGTCGGGGTGAAGAAGTTAAATAGCTAGCCACATCGAAAAGTTTTTTTGACAGTTATATCTAATTTAATTGGTCAACTGTCAACGGCGACTTGACACAAAAATATGCATGTTATTCACATGACAACAAGTGAAAACGCCAATGGTTCGTTAGCACAACATTTATAAGTGCAGTTAGCCTATAGTTTCACCTGTAGGAGTTTTGATATCAGGTGTTGATGAATTGTTTATACTGTAAGCATGTCATTTTAAATGCTTGATGTTGGCTTTATTAGCACTCACCTACTGTGTATATTGTTACACTATATTCCAAGATATGTCGAAATGACAATACTGAAGCTAATACGTGTTCAGAGTGATTAGAGTCATTAGGTTTTTGGCTATATGAGAAAGTGAACACATAATGTGTACAGATGCGCTCAGTCGTCAGTTCGTAGTATTGTTTCAGTCCTACCTGTTTCTCATATTCTTCTACCTGGCCTCTTTAGACCTCCCCGCAGGAATAATCTTCTGTGTAGCGTGGTGTTTCAAGTAGGATAGAGATCAATTTCTTATACTTCATTCCGTTTGTAATGAAACAATGAATGAAAAATGAGACTTGATAAAACATTACTCAGAATCACGCATAAATTGGATTTGAAAGTTTTTCACATTAAAATTCAAGTTCCAGGGGAAATAAAACTGCAAGGAAATAATTATATCCAGCAAATAATTATTTCACATCCAAAAATATCTTTTGAAAATGCTCTGCTTGACTTAAATATCCACTTGACTACAATGGGTATTGATGACAGTGATATCGCATTTAAGTCTTATAGCAAAAATTAGCCAAGACTCAGTAATACTGAGTAGTGAGATGATAAACTGGAAGTGTTTTCATAGCTGATACTGTCTGGTTTAGCACTTCCAGTAACACTCTTATCTTCATCTTGATACGATTATGAGAAAAGAAAATTGTGCCCCGAATTTCATCCAGTTATCAATATTGTTTTACTGTTTTGTAATTAGTTGTGTTTGCTGAGCTGATTGATTTAATGGCGGAGCTTTCGTCGTCAAATAAACTTATCTAATATTGAATCATCTTCATCTTCACTAGTATTTAGAAATTAAGAAGTAAATTTTAAAAAATGCTTATTGTTCAGTAATGTTCGATTTAAGTATACTTTTCCCACACATCAGCAAAATTAAACATGAACGTACACTATTTTCTCTGGCTCATAGAATATATGCTCTTGTACGGGTGTCCAGAGAAGTAAAGAACGTATGGGCTCTTTTTCCTTGTCTGTAACATTTTCCTTATCGCATGAATTAAAAGGAAAATCCGGTGGCCTCGGTCTTATCAACTTCCATGTGGGTATAGGCTTTTCAGGAGACGGTGGAATAATCGGTATGACGCGACGTTTCGCCACGCAAATCGGATAGGCATCTGAACAAGTAAATCCAAATTCTTTAATTTTGAATGCGGTCTAAAATAGAAGAAAATGAAGATATGTATGTTAATACATATTAAACAGATATAAGATGCTTTTTAAACAGCTAAACAGCATATAATTACACAGAGGGAAATACCGTAAATAATTTTTCATCTGCATTTTCAGATAACGGAAATTCTAATGATAAAACAGTGACCATTTTGATTGTAAATCAAGAATAAATGCACATAAACTAACTAGGTTGTTATGCATGACACTATTAAACAGCCGGACATAAAGCAGAGGTGAAATTGTTCACGAAATCAATTTACATGAATTTACCTAGAAATAAGAACTATGATCTCTGGAATAAATCTGTTGTAAAGACGCTTCTGTGCAGATATTTTGTCAAACTGACTCCATTTCACATTCAAGTGCTGGCTTGCAGGAATTTGGTTTGATTGGTTTCAGGATTTCATAATGAGCTGACATTGGATAGAGAACTATTGGAAAACCTGGGAGTACTGAACAGCTGTTTCATCCTAGTTCGAGACTCTTCGTTAGTACGAACCCACCACCAAAAATGGAACCCAGGAGCTTCTGGTTACTGCTGAAGAGTCCCAAACTGGAACGGGACAACTCTGCAGTACTCCCAGGTTTCCTAATGGTTCCTTAACCGATGTCAGCTCATAATGAAATCCTGTAACCAAATCACTTCACATTTTCTATGATGTCTTTTACATACTTCAGATTAGCGTAAACCTCTCAGCAATAAATGACAAGAGACTGATTTGAGGTCAATTGGTTGGTGGTGACTAGCAGTGGAATCTAGGATGCACATTTCGTCCTATTTGGGACTAGTCAGTGGACGTACCTGCATTCCCCAGTGAGTGATGATGTTCTCACCGAGGCTTGAACTCAGCGACCATAGTCTCAAACGCCAAAACGTTATCCACTAGACCCCCTTGGGCTATGGGTGCCACCTCTTGTGCAACCGGTCTTAATAATTATTGATTGGATCGAAGTGCTCGGTCTCAGGTTGACATGTCGGTTCCTTGTGCAGGTGCTTCGACGATGTCTGGTCATGTAACTGGGCGTTTGAAACTATGGGCACTGGGTTCGTGCCTCGGTGAGAACATTATCACTCACTGAGGGATGCAGGTGCGTCCAGATGACGAGTCCTAAATAAGATGAAATGCTCATCCTAGATTCCACTGTTAGTTACCATCAACCAAATGACTTCAAGTTAGATGACAAGACACAGTCGAAGCATCTGCACAAGGAACCGACATGTCAATCTGAGACCGAGCACTTCGGTCCAATGAACTAACAGGAAAATCTAAACTGAATTAAATGATTTGAGGTCAATCTGTCAAGCTTCAATAAATGAGATAGAAAGAGTCACTTTCTTAATGTTCATTACCAAATCTCGTTGTCAATTTTTTTTATCGTTCTCAGATGTATTGCTCAGTTGACGATCTGGTGGATCAATACAACCATCTATTTATAGAAAAGCTAAGTGGACAGGACAGTATCTTAATTATTACAGTTTCTGCCCTGTTCAGTACAAAAGAGCCTTCGTAAGTTGACCCTTCAGTAGAATTCAACAAATATGCATCGAAGACAGACATGATGATGAAGAATGAAAACTGACACTGATATTAATTATCCAGACAAGTTCATAAGGAGATATAAATCGGTCAGAACACCAAGACCCACTCTCCAAGTCATCATTAAGAAACATGTATATATCAAGCCACCCTAAATGGGTGATCATAGCAACTTGGTAACTTGAAAAAGATTGAACGCTGCGGTTAAAAAGACTTTTATATAGTTAACATCATAATAATTGAGAATATGAAGCCCATAAATTCATCTAAGCTCTTGGAAAATGCGAAAAATGATGTTAAATCACACTATGTTAACCAATTTAAACGTACGTGTGGACACAAATATACACGGAGCACTCATCGATCTCTGTAAGTAAGGGCTTACGAGTATATTCCTAAATGGCTTGAATATTTCAATTAAACATTCGTTGAGTATTATTTATAATTTAATCCTTTCAGACAACGAACTAAATTCATATAAACTGTGATCAAGATCTGATCTAATAGTTCCATAATGATTGGGCGCCGACTGAGAAGTAGACATATGTAAAAATTATATTTGTAAAATCGCAGGGAAATTGAAAGGAGTAATTCCGACGTTTCGTTCAACAAAGTGGTCCAAACTTTAGGGAAATTAACGAAAATAACAGAACCAAACGTCTAGTTACTGAGGAGGAAGACATCAGCAGGGAAATAAAATTGGTTCAGTTCATCCTTGAATCAAATAATTATCTCAAAACTTTATAAAAAGATATTTTAAATGTGAAGATAAGGGTTAATCAAAACCTGTTGCTAAGAATTGGATCAGTACAGCAGTGATTCCTTAATGCAAAGAAACGTCGGATGAGATAGAGCATAACCTTAACAACCACGTCATAAGAGTGTATTTTCGTGCAACGGTGAAGGTTAAGGATAAAATAAAAGGAGATAACCAACATAATTGTGTGCACCAAATTATTTGTGGGGACTGTGATGCCATTTATGTAGGACAAACTTCCAGACAGGTAAATATAAGAGTGAAGAAGCATAAAAATGCCTAAAGGGGCCTCCAAAGACCTCTACAGACTTGAAGAAGCTAGGAAACAGATCGGCGATCTGACTACACTCAACAGAAAAGTGACACAAGATCGACTTCGATAGGACTAACGTTCTGAAGAAAGGTTTCAGTTCGTATAAAGAAAGACTGGTTGCAGAAGCTTTGCATATATTACGGAATCTCAAAAGTTTGAACAGATGTGAAGGTGTGATGTTAGCTGATGCATGACAAGTCCTGATAAATCAAAAATGGATATGTATCAGTAATCAGTCATACTTGATTTAAATTCCCGATTGTCTATATCTTCTTATGGAGAGGTTAACAAAGTACCCTTTGTTTACAGTGTTTGACAAAGATAGACTAATATTTGTAAGTCTAAAGTCAAATTTTGATCACACTCCATGCAGTTTTGTTTATTATATTCTGATGCGTGTTTCATAACTCATATGATTGGACAAAGTTTTTATATATACTTCTCTAATATATTAATTTCTATTAATTTCCCTGAAGAAGTTCGGACCAGTTTGTCGACGAAACGTTGACATTACTTATTTCAACTTCTCTGAGACTATACAAATATAATTTTTACATATGTCTACTTCTCACTTGGCGCCGAATTATTATGGAACTATTCGATCAAATCTTGATTATTTTTCTTATAAACTGCTTCATAAAACAGTTCATGAAATGTATAAATCTCTAAGGGATGTAGTAACTAATTAATACATTATGCAACAAGGTGATAATTATGGCAATACACCATTGAAAGAATTATACTGAATTAAATAAATAAAGTTGACAGTGATTTAAGTTCACAATTGGCAAGTTAGTTAGCAATTTGCAAGGTACACAGTTACAGGGGTGGAATTTCACTACATATTTTCCCTTTGGTAACCAAATTGTTCAGATCACAGTATGCTCTATGAGAGGCATACAACTACTCATCTCATTCCATCATTGGTATGTAGTTTTGCTCAAAGTTGACAAGTGAGATAATACCGGAAACTGTTTAAAGTGAAACAATAACAACGGTCGACATAATGCTGCAAGGATATAAAAATTGAATAAATGAAACGAGAAGTAAGTAGGGCCAAAGAATGAATGGGGATTGTCATACTTTAGCATAGACGGATTAGGACTATGATAGTTGGAAGGGTTGAACAAGCTTTTTCTGAGTAAACATATCTGGCTTTTCTATCTCGATAGCCAAAGTCTCAAAGGTACACATAGACCGGATTCATAATGATATGGACAAGTTATTTTTCGCTTTGTAGATAACTTTAGAGGAAGAGGCTGTAGAATTAAGGTGACTAGTATCGACCAGATATTTAATTATTGTGCTTCTTATAGCCCAACTTCAACTTCAGACGACTGATATATATATATATATATATATATATATATATAGCCAATTATTTTTTGTCACATTCCACTTTATTTATTCAATCATACGTGTGATCAATTTGTAGCCCATATATATAACGAAGTTGAAAAATTGTATGAGTGCCTTGATATGGTTATGAGCAATTAATTGTGCTCGATGCGTCGTCAGTAAATGATACTGTATAACAGTGTATGATTATATCTGATAGATTTACTCTGTAACGGAATTACACTGTACCACAGTGCCAAAGTTCCATTTTCCTAAGAATGAAACATCATATAACATGAAATTGGTAAGCTTTTTTCAACATAGGACTCTTAATCGGTGAATCTAAATTCTCAGTATATTACAGTATTTCATAATGTACATAGCATCGGTAGCACAGCGGTTGGGACTCTCGCCGACCATGCACATTATCCGGGGTTCGATCCCCTACCGACGTACACCTGATATCTATGGTCGGCCTGCAAAATTTGGGCTACCGATATCATATGCTGAAAATTCCATACTTGCACCAAAAATACTGTGTGGTTTCAAGCTATAATAAAAAAATGGAATATTTGGTTTCATTGTGAATACAGTACCATAATCAAATTAAGTAAATCAGCAGACCCTAATAACTTCTTGTATCAGATTATGTATTCTGGTGAACTATGTCACCTAAGCTCTTCAATGGTAACAAAAGTAGTAGTGGTTAAACTTGTCATCCAGTAAAAAGGAATCTGAATAATAACGCCAATCAGTCTCACCAAGCGCTTTATAAGACAACTCTATGGCATATATATGGTATCACATATTAGTAATCAGTCGATAGAAAATGCTATGTGACCAACACCTCATATACATCGATATTTATGATTTAGTAACACCTGTGATCTTGAGAAAACTCACTGATGAAATTAACGATAACTAGACAGAGAGACATTAACCACGAAAATTCCAACAGTTTAAAATCTGTTTTTAGGATATCTACTTTCTTATTTTGTTACAAGCCACACCTATGGGATTTCGACAGGGAACGTTTTCAAGTAAAGTCAGCTGCATGAACTAACAAGGATTCACTGTAACTAGACAGTACACAGAATGGCATTTCGCTCTGACTAAGGATCTCATGACAAAATTGTGACAATCTTCTTGATAACTACTGAAACAAAATGAGAATAAGGGCTATATTTAAATATTCATTTACTGCCTATGTGAATGACACTGGTTAAATCTGTTGTTTATAACGTAACATGCAGTTAGCTTTTGCATATAAAAATCATGGGGAGACTGAAATAATTGCAGAATTTCCACTGTCCTTTACAGGACCACTGTTACAGTTTATCGACTAGTACTATATACTATTTTTATTATTCTCTTGGGTTCGAAGCGGAACATGGGGCTTCAACAGTACTTCTCCATTCCACTCTGTTCTCTGCAGCAATTGCTGATACGCTTTCATCTCCTCCTCCTAAGATCTACTGTGTGTCCCACTTCAGCTTCCGACTCATCGTTTCCCATTTGGATTCTATTCGAAGGCCTGACGCAGTACGTTAAGCAATGGTCTCCAATCTACAAAACAACAGATCTATGGACTTCCGCTCATCTTCTTCGAAAGTCCTTATTGGCTTCATCTGTAAATAGAAACAGATATTTCATAAGTGACTATGCTAAGTATTCCCATTATACTATCATCCTAATTTTAATAGTAGACATATAAATAATTGCCGAAAACCTCTGTCTCCATCACAAAGGCATGTTTTCTAGTTTACTAAACTGCTACAAAATCTCTACTTGTAATGTTGAAAATATGACAGAATCAGCGTAAAAATGCTTGTAAACGAAACTTTTACCTTAGATTCAGAAGTTGATAGACACGCCAATGATGAAACAGTATTTTTGAATGATGCAAATAATAATGTTTCGGGGATTTTAGGATTCACTTCGTCCGATGACACGTGAGCCGCTGAAGATACAAAATAACGAAAATACAGCAAGTAAGCATCTGTTAGACTTTAGAAACCACATGCTAAAGATTGAAAGCCTATTTATGTTTCAGCAGATATTAGTTACTTAGTTGGACAAAATCACAGATAACCGAACAAACCAACACAGCATATTAAGCATATTAAGCTATACAAAGAAAATGTTTTGGGAGGACAAAGAAAAAATAATGAAACTTACCAAAATCTTTATTATTTAAAATAAGGGATGAATACACTACAGAATTTGTGATCGCGTTTCCATTAAGTTATGCTGAATCTTGGGCCACTGACCCCTAACACTAAAAGGCTTCAGCAGTGGTTGTTATGCATACGTTTGATCACTCTTAGCTTTCTTCTAATATTACCAGTCGGAGTGTGGTGAAAAAATCCCTATAGGCTACATATATCCTGCCAATCTCAAATGGTGCATGAAAATTATCCACTTAGAGAGCAAGGTTATTATCATAAGTCTCTGTAGTAGGCTTGGACTTGTTTTACTCAAGATCGGTGGGTGCAGAGTCACTATAAATAGCCATATCTTACAGAGATGTGGAAAGCAGATAAGTAGTTTGCTGTTAATTACTAAAGTGCATTTACAAATGAACATAGAGTTCTTGATAAATTGTCTGATTTAACGTAATCAGTGAATTTTATTCATTTAATTCCCATTAGTGGTGAAGAAATATTGTTCAAAATAAAGCTAATACCATTAGGCGATTATATTCGTGTGGTAACTTAAGTGGTAACTTACGCTCTGTTAAATCATAATATTCTCAGTCGATTTGTGTAGGAAATTGAAATAGCATGCTGTTGACAATAACTTTGGAAGCAGAAACAATATAAAATTTCGAGCTTTCAAAAGCTATAACTGATTGAATTAGGTAATCATGGAAAGCACAATTCACAGAGAATTTATACAGAGACAGTTGCAATGAGTGGAAGATACACATATAGATATACATATACTTCCTTGATACCAATAAATAATTTCAAGACTGAGAGCATTAAGCTACTGCACGTATACTATCGACTAAATTGAGTGTTCAAGGATTGCTTAAACTAATGCTCATTGGTCAGATCAAGTGAGTCAAACACCAAACGGACGTCTCTTTTGTTCAGTATTGAGCTTATCAGTAACTGAACCCAGAAAGTGGAGTTCACATAATGAGTAGTAATGTTTGATGGCAGTAATTTCAAAGACATAATCAATGATAAGAGCTGGTGTTTCAGTGTGATTCATTAGTGGAAGTTGTGTAAATAAGAAGAGAGTCGATGGAAAAGCTATTTTCTAACAGAATGATTGTACTGAGTCATTCTGGTGACGAAGTCTACTAAAGTGGAAAGAATGCAAAGGCGAAATGCTTCAGAAATTAACCCAGAAATTAAAAGACCCACTTGTTTGATCTTTCTTCTCCTTGGCGCTTTCTTTGCTTTTATCTCCCCCTTAAATAGTGAAAACAAAGAAATGTTATTCATTAATTACCATTATACCTTTTTTATCCTTTGACTTCTCTTTATTTACGGCTGATTTACTATTAACCACATCTCGGTGCTCCACTTTTTCAATCGTTTCAGTCTGCTCAAGTTTCATTAGTTTCTCAGCCTTTTTCATAACATCATCAGGCCTTTCCCAGTCTGTTAAATAATTACTTAAATAGTCCCACAGTTTTTCTGTTGATTCTTTTCTATTGACAGTTGTGATATTTAAAAGTAAGTGAAACATACTTTACAACAATTGTATGCTTAATCCATCCAGTTAAACACTGGATAGTGCTAAAGTCACCCATTTCACCAGTAGTATAAGCACTTCTACAACTATAATTTAAGGAAGAAAAACAACAGATAAAAATTATTCTTCTTCTAGAAAAAGGATATTTACTCCACAGAAGCAATTTTCAATAATGCTTTCGTTAAAAGCATTGGCCATAATTCATGAGGTTGTTTTGTTTGTGGAAGTAGAGGTCTGTCTTCTTCATCAAATGGGATCGAATCGTCCACGATCATTTTGCGCCAGCATCCCTATAAAAGTTTGAACAGAATACAAAATTATGATATCCGTGTAGAAGTTCATAAATGTTTAAGCTTGTAATTAAGCACCGTTGTTTTAACATGACTCAATTAATCGTTGTGTGGTGACATTTAGGATATGGAAGCTCACAATTACTCACTAGGCAGCATAGATGTCTAGTTATCCGGTCTTAAGTAGAATAAAAAAGCATCTTATATTTCACAGTTAATAGATGGTAGAAATAAATAATTTCAAGTGGAATTTACGAGTTTCTTGGAGACGAAGGATGTCGACGAGATCACACGATATAATTATATGACAATGGGCCTATGCATCTCCCAACCCCCAGTGTTCTTGTTCCACATAGACCAGAGAAACATTTTATGGTCTAAAGTACGAAATTTATATCAGGAGCAAAAACGTACGGTAGTGATGTGTTCTTAGCAAACTTAACATGACAGTGTGCCAAAACAGCAAGGATGCTTGACAGAGAACCTTCAGTCTAACCAAAAGACTGAGACAGCGAAGAATGGCACTGACCACTGAATGGTGGAAGTTGCATGCTAGTAATTTTGAAAAATCATTTGTCCCTGAAAGTTCTAAGACTTTCAGTGCATAATTTTATATAGGAATTTAGTAGATAAGTAATAGGTTAACCGGAAATCAACAGTTCTTTGTTTGGTTACTCTAAGGTTGCAAAAGATTTAAGTTACTTGAGCCAAAAATGTAATAAGTCAGGGTAAATTCGCGTGTCACGGAACTTGGTTGAAGTAAAAAAAATACCTCCAATAATCTGTAGATGAAAGAGTAATATTCCAAACGATTCTTATAGATATTCAAAAGATGGTCATAAGATATAGTAATGGAAGGGGGGTAAGGCAAAAGGGCACACACATAAAAACAGCATCGCTTGGAAGCCTGTCATGACTGGAAGCCGCGTAACAATAAGATTCGGCTTCTACAAAACTGAATAGCAGATTACGGCAACGCGTTTCGGGGTAACAATTCAGAGGTCAGTGATCTAACCGAATTTTCATTTCATCTTCATTATCTCATTAAAATTGTATCTATGCAAAGCTATCCCATCGAAAAGGCAATTTTACTTCAAAGTGTGAAGCTTGATTTTTGTACTCAAAAAGATTCATTCCATGAGAATCTTTGAAGATTTTTTATTTCACCTCTTTTTTCTTCGAAATCACTAATCAGTTTTCCTGATGATCCAAAATCAGTAATATTTACCAATGGACTGTTGAACAGTGTAATTTCGGAAGTATGCTATTCCTTCGTCCTTTCTTTAATTTTCCACCAATAACGCATGCGTCGGTGGCTTAGCGGTAGAATGTTGGCCAACCATGCATGTGGTCCGGGGTTCGATCTCCAGCCAACGCACTCATTTACCCCGGTAAGCCGGTAATAAGAATGGTAGAGAGGGAAGGTTGTGCATGAGGCTAGCAACCCCATCCTATAAAAATAAACACCCCTGCTACTGAAACTTTAAGCCTCTAGCTTGAAGCCCTATGTTCCACTGGGAACGTGAAGGAATAAAATAAAAAATAATAACGCATGCGGATCAGAAATAATACAGCGAAATTCAATGTTTTTACTGTGCTGTTCAAACACTAAAATTCATTTTCAATTAAATTTGTTATTTTAATCTTGCACCTTGCGCGTCGGTGGCATAGCGGTTAGGACGCTCGCCGACCATGCACATGGTCCGGGGTTCGATCCCCGACCGACGCACTCCTTTACCTCACTAAGCCAGGAATAATGCTGGTGAAGAGGAAAGGTTGGGCATGAGGCTAGCAACCCCATCCTGTAAAATAAACACTGCTATTGAAACTTCAAGCCACCAGCTTGAAGCCCTATGTTCCACTGGGGAACGTGAAGGAAAAAAAAAACTTGCACCTTCAGATTTATTCTCGTGGATTTTTGTTGAATTACTTTTTTAAGTTGCTTTAATCCCAAAGTGAAGTTTTCCCGTTAAAAGTTGCATATTATGTTGTACCCATAAGTCAAGGAAACATTGTCTTCTACCCATCAATGATTTCAGATCTCATAATTCAGGTAAGGTGCTTTTTCATAAATTAACTAATATTTGTACACATCATTTGCTATAAAAAGCGTTTTATCAAACCCAAGTTGGTGCTGCATTTCTGATTAGTATACAGAAGCTACTTATTACTCCGTGCTTTCATTACAAATGTCATTTTAAGATTCAGAGTTTCTCTTTATAAACCACTTGGTTGGAAAATGAATCCCATGTCGACCAGTGTCTAAAATGAGAGTTCAAAGAAACATTATGCTTTATTGATACAACCATGTTGAGATAGAGAACGGAAGCCTAATTTTGATGACGATGAAGCACGTCGCTTTTTATTGAAGGGTGACTGAAGTTAGTATTTGTGCACCACAACACCTCAGCTAAGTATTGCACTACCTATAATTTTATATGCCCCGTTATTGAGTTTCTCTGAGGAAAATGGAAGCATATTATTCGGTACTAGACACGAAGGCATCAAACGTCTGCTATTACCTTTAAACATGGTAAACAATTTCTATATTTAATCAAAATTCAGTGAGAAATCAATCTTCAATGTTTACCGTTGTCAAGATAATGAAACGGAGTCAGTTTTTGATAGAGACTTTCTTTCAATCAAATCCCTTGAAATGAGAATATGAATTCAAACCAAATTCTTTTCACATATTAATCTGTTCATTTTGAGTCCTCAAAGCTTATTCAGAGTGTTTGTTAGAAAATGTTTCAATCATATTCTGATTTCAAATGCATTTTCGGAGTATTCAAATGAACTGTCGTCAAGATTTGACCGAATAGTTCTAAAATATTTGGGCGCCGAGTTCGGACCACATTGCCGAACGAAACGTTGGAATTACTCATTTCAATATCGCTGAGATATTACAAATATAATTTTTTTACAAATGTCATTTTCGGAGTAGTTTATCAATAAAAACACTGCACTCCAGTGGACTTATTCCGTGGGAAATGACTGGTGAAATAACCACAGGAAGAAAGTGGTAGTTATGATTGTCTGCTCGAAAAATTACTTTCACAAACACGATTCAATCCTACTGAAACTATGTAAATAACAGATGACGTCTTGAAAGCATGCAACTTCATCTTTGGAAATTATGCTATCTGATTATGAAGTTGTTCAAAAGGATTCCATTAGTATTATTGTTTAAACAACCATCCACTGGATGGAACATACGGTCATTTCAGTTCCAAAATAACTAACACTGCAGTAGGCTGAAAACAGTCAAAGGTATTGTAGACCACACCACTAGTAGTTATCCGTAAAACACTAATAACTTTTATCCTGACCGTGCTTATTCCTGAATTTTATATAGCTATACAGAACAGATCGGCTCTTGAAGTAGTGCCTTCAAAGTTATCTGTCATATACAATCGAGCCTTTCGAACGGAATCCGAATCCACCTTTAACACATAGCCGAAGCTATGAGAATTCGAGAGAACAATCCTAGTCTTTGCATACAAAAGAATTTTGTTCTACCTTTGTCTCTCTCTTGGCCTACGTAAATTCTAACTAGAACCCTCCCACCCTTTCTTATTTTCCATTTCCTCCGTACTTTTATGATATTTTTATGATAGTTTAAAAGATCTGTTAACGTCAATTTTATGTCTGTTCTATAATATGTTTCGCAATAGAAGAGATAGGACTCCTAGCTCTTCTATTGCGAAACATATTATAGAGACAGGACATAAAATTGACGTTAACAGATCTTTTAAACCTATCTATAAAACGTGTTTAGGGGGTATCTTGAAGTTTGTGGAATCCCTAGGAATTAGAAAGTTTAAGCCACCTTTATGCGTTCAAAAACAATTCATCATCAAATTAAAGCTTCCTTGGTAAATTTTGTTTTGATACCATTGCAGATATACTACTGTAACAACAGAAGACAAGGGCCAGGCAACAGATAGTTTATTGAGGGAAATCAACACATTTTTATAGATTTTAATGTACATTCATTATAAATTATTTAAATTAATCCCAGCGTGTTAAGAAAATCAAAACAAGCAGATTTATCTGCTGAAGAAGCTGTGGCTTACACAGCGAAACGTTCAGAAAAATCTTGTTTTGATTTTCTTAACACGCTGGGATTAATTTAAATAATTTGTAATGAATCAATCTGAATCGGCGCTCAAATTATTCCAGTAAGTTCGTAACACCTACGGCCTGGAAACCTATAATTTTAATGTACATTATTGTAGATTATTGTTAGTAGAAAATACAGTCTTTTGATTGGTTCCATAATGGATAAGATTTTATTTTGATAAATCACACAGTGTTGTACAGTTATATTAACTGATGACGTTTGTGTGTTTGTGTGCCTGTGTGATTTATCAAAATAAAACCTTATCCATTATGGAGATATACTCTACCACAGTGCCCAAGTTTTATACTTATATTTTTTGATTGGTTGTTTCTCACAGAAAGTTAACCTTGCATCTCTTTGTGGCTGTGTCAGATCATCTATATGCTAACTGTGTCCGCCTACTCAAAGCCTTTGTTATCATTTGCTCACGACCAATATTGGGGACATAAACATTGACGTCAATTACTGTCTACCAATTTGGCTAGCAGCCAGCTCTCACCACACTATTACCTCTGCTATTTGGTTTAGTGGTCTTCATTGTTATTTTGACCTTGAATATGTCCTTTTAAATTGACCTAAGTCTATTTTCTCACCTCTTACCTCTTTATTAATTTCAAATATATTCCTATGACAAGTCCGTGTGTGATTAGAGTATACTATTGCCGAATAACTGGACCAACTATCCAAATTTAACTAAGTCACAAATAAACTTGATAATAATTTTATTGTCTTTCCGTATGCTGCTAGTGGCTGAGATATAAATTAGACAGTAGTGACCATTGTAGAAATATTATTAAAACAAGACATGATGAATATCTGGAAAAGCTGATAATCTTCAACATACCATCCAATAAAGTTTAACAATATATTTCCCATAAGGATTGTACTGTGGTGTATTGACATTATCTTTAGTAATTTTTGTCATTGCATAGATATGCTCCCAAGGTTTCCATTCGTATGTGTACACTGGTGAACTGGATGGATTCATTACACTGAATTCATTTGACTCTGTTTGATTACTGACAGCTGGAAGTGTTGATGTTGTTACTGGTGTTCTGCAAGCTAGCCATAGATTTTGTATTTCACATATAATCCATCTTAATATCTAGAAAGTGTATTTGTTATTACTTTTCCAGATACTTACTTCAATGTTAAATAAATGTTCATTGCAGTACAGTAAGTCAATGTGATTTACACAGTCTGGATCATAAACAACTGGAGTCTAATAAATTAAAAAAGGTACAAAAATACCCCTTTATGTTTCAGCTGGAGTATATCAACGAAGAAAACGGTGGAATACTATTATTTAGGTATGACGCAAATGAAACACTCAGCACTCTGTTACTTACCAGATGGATGTCATTTGACAATGACCACTATATCTTTAGTAGTCAACTTTGATTTATTTATTTTCATCACTAAACTGGACAACCAGGAAACATGCTCCCTTTCAAACCAAATATAGTTCGATAGTATGTTGACAAGTCATTGCTTAGTTTATAAACCTTCAAAACAATTTGTCCAATGAACTTTCATTTCCTCAGAAAAAAAGTTTCACCTTCAGGTCAAATACATTAATTTAGTGATTGGTCATTGCAGAGTATTCATCATCACGCTGTGTAGTCCTTCGCACTTGTCAGTTGGCAATACGGTCACCTCAGTACACTTCTGATCAACGTTATATAGTCAGTAGTAATGATTCACTATGCTTTTAAACAGGTCTGTTTTTGAATCTACACAATCATGCAACCACTTCGTCATATTAAGTTTCGAATAAAGTTTATTCAAGTACTAGTTAGGCAGTTCACCATCACTCATCCCATAAAGCGTTTATATATATATATATATATATATATATATATATATACTGTCATCTGGGAAGCCCATTCACGCTACACAAAAATTAACGGACTAATTCACTTGTCTTATTTACCATTAGTAAAATAAAAAGCGGGAGAACAGTAGGCAAAAATAGTTAGTTAGTTTACTGTGATATCCTAGAGTACTCCTTCTCATTTTGATATGATTGAAAAGATAGCTGTTATGTGTCCCAAACGAACAGAAGGAGGAAATATGAAAGACTTTCTTCCGAAATAATGCTTATTAGGATAGTAAAATTAAATATTATCATCTCCGTAAAACTAAAACTAATAGAGTACCTTGTCGGTGATAAACTCCTGAGGTCTTCTTGTACACGCAGGTACTATGGAAGGTGGGTAAAGAACTTGCGTTTCAGGATCAATAAAATACGATGATGATTGCTAAATGCAGAAAGAATTAAACAATGCACCATTATATATTACCTGAACTTACCGCTGATGACTTCGTCTTTTCTTTAGGTTTCTGCGAGGAATCCTTCACGGTAAACAATGATAATATTTGTTAGCTTATAGCAGAAAATAATTTACCCATTTCTCACTGTTAACATCCTGATCATTCCATTCAGGCCACAAGGCAACAGTTGCCTCCCGTGGTGTAGCTGACTGATTTGTCATGATGACTCTATACCAAAAAGAAAACTAAATCAAACTTTTTCTTAACGTTTTTTAACATCTTTAACAACTTCATAACTTTCAGGATTTTATTGTTACATGAGATGTGGAACCAGACTATATGGTATCGCTTCTCACACAGGGGCAAATCCCATGTGTCATATGCTTCTGCACCCAATAACTGGGTAAAAACCTAGACCTTATGGCCGCTATCTTCACCACACTCACCTTAAGATATAAGCACTACTCCAGTTTAGGAATGCTGTCCTAAGCAAAGCAAGTAGGAACTGAATGAGTTTTTTAACTGCTACTTACTATGATGCCTAGAACACGTGACTGAAATATTTTCTGCGACGACCTAAGGCCACTGAGCTCTACAAGATGAGGCCGAATAGTTCCAGTGTGGTTAATTTTTGGCACGCGCTAGCGCTTCATCAATGTAACCTCGAAATCTGCTTACAGAAAGGGTTTGTTCAGTTACTTATTCTACCGTCGTCTGGAGCTCTTCCACACTTGCTTGCATCTATTTTTATTAAGCAATTCACTATGATCACTATTACATTTCCCTTTTGAGCATTTCGTTGGGAATTGTCTACTCACTTACTTTACAATTGACAAGTCGTCACCCAACCACCTTACTTCTCCTCTGATAACAATACTCATCTTATAAAACTTCATGCCCTTAATTCCATCGTGTCGGTAATTATTACATATTACTTAAATCTTCAAACACCACTTCTGAGTTACTGTACCAGTTATCCTCAGTAATGGACTGATATGCGTTTTGGTAAATAGAAATACGACTGTACAATCTTTGAAGATGACATCGTCGACAGAGAAAATTCTTTATTAGTTTGTTTATTTGATATATCACACAGTGAAACAGTATTATTTACTGGATGACGTTTCGAACAAAATTTATTGTTCATAATCATATCAATTATAATCACACGACTTTGACACTTGAGTTTTATAGTTTTCTTTGTTTGTTCTCCTGACAATCATTACAGGGTTTATCTCATACCCTGTAATGATTGTCAGGTCAAATACATAGGTCAAATTAGTAGAACAGGGGCAGTCAGACTAGCTGAACATAAGAACCTAGCAAAATCTCGACTGGTTGACCCGAATAAGATAAGAAATCTACAGAATAGATCAGCTATAGCACTACATGCAGTTACACACAACCACACAATAGGAT